AGATGGAAGAGGGGTACTGTAGATCAAGGAAATTGAGACAAAAGTAATGCTATACTGATGAACCTATACTTTAGCTAAAGCACGGTACTGAAATATCAGTATGTCGGGAAAATAAAGAGGATAATGTCGCTGCGCCGATTCTGTCGCTGAAGTGGACAGCAATTTGATTTTGCCGCGACACATTCATAAAATACGTGGATTGAGAGAGCCAAGTTTTTCTACAACAGGGTGCTCCAAGAATTATGGAAAAAAATACTCATTAATTTGTGTTCGGTGGTCCAATCCGAAAATTGTTTCTTTTCATTTTACAGAAAAACCTTGGAGTTTTGATAATCCAAAAAAAATTTTTCTTTTGCCGGCGGAGATGTAAAATGCAAAAAAAATTTCGGATTGGACCACCGAGCACAAAGTTGTTAATCAATAAATTTTTCCATGATTCTTGGAACACCCTGTACAAGACCGAAAATTTCAACTAAAAAAATCAATCAAGTAAAGTATTTTTAATCGAGGAACATAAGAAAGGGAACAGTTGTCCATAAATCACTGCCCACGATTTTTTATAAAAAGCTCTATGAATCTTATAAACACATTCCATTCCACACGTATAATATAAATCTCAAGCAGTGAATAGTTGAAATTTTAAGGCTAAGTAAAAAAAAATAAAACCAAAAAAAATCTCATTCTAACGACGGCGGGAAAAAATGATCGTGACATTCTGCACTCTTACAAATATTAATTTTACTGCTTGCTATTTTGCCGACATTGCCTTTGCGGCAGGGACATAAAAAACTTTTTTTGACATTTCGTTTCCCACGCCGTAAAAAGCGCATTTCAAATGTAGCTGAAATGACACTTTTTTATTCAAATTTTATCCGTCTGTCGGGAAAATAATGACTGTCGCGTCAAAAATCATCACCTCCAAGAAAATGAATTTCTTCGCGGCAAAATCAAATTGCTTTTCACTTCAGCGAGCGATTGGCGCAGCAATACATTATGCTCATTATTTTCCCGACAAACTCATAATATTTTAATCTTTCATCCTCAAAATTCATGGCCAAAAATCAGAAAAAATCTAAAAATTTCTGACCGTTTCCACCTAATAAAAACGCTTGAAATTCTTTGAATTCTTGGTGTTGTTTTTCGGCCGTGACGAAAATTGGACTTTACGTCAAGAACTGTCAAAAACATCTTTTTTTCTGCAGGTTATTCTTGAATTTCTCTTCAAAGCTTTTTCGGTTCAAAACGTGAGGGGTGTCGGTTTCGAAATTCTTCTCCGACGTTGAAAAAACAGTGATCTTTATGAAAGAAAGTGTACGTAAATAATATGTGTAGAAGGAAAATTGGGCAGGCGAAGTGCCTCAAGTGAGACGTTCATATTTTTATTAAACTTTGCACACACGTCGGGTATGGACCACATAGCAATTCACAAAAGTTTTAGCTCGCGCTTTGCTGGCGCAGCCGAGATATTCGACGATCTCCGCGGTCTAGAGAGTACGCAAAACGCGGAGGGCGGTCAGAGAGAAAAACGCTTTTTGGCCATAACTTTAGCAGTTCCGTGCGGAAAAATTTGATTTTTTGTAGAAGCATTCTCCTTTACGGTAGAAATAGGCATGAAAATTTTCGTGCCGAAATTCGGCAAAAAGTCCTAAATTTTTGCCGACTTTCGATCCAAAAATCTCGGTTGTACCTGCAAAGCGCGAGCAAGGATTCCCGCGTATATCTTCGAAAAAATTGTTCTAAACTTGTGCCAATTTTCGTCAAAATCTGAGCGTCGCACTTGGAGTACTACCCCTGTAAGATGATTCCGCAACTTTCAGTCTCTTCGTCAAAATTTCCCGCTATCAATCCGAGCGAGGTGTCTTCCCGGCTAGAGGTGGCAATCGGGCCGGCCCTAGGCTTTTTCAAATTTACTTAAGCCCGGCCCGGCCCGGTGGAAGCCCAGGCCGGCCCGGCCCTGTTTGGCCCGCTAATGCAAAAAGATTGGATAAAAGTCTCCCTGACTATATACATAATCAGGGATTTTAAAGAGTTTGAAAAGGTGGAAAACAGTATATAAGTCAAAAAGTTTTAATTTAATATCCATCCATCAATTCTGCTAAGCATTTGTGCTTTATTTTGCTGGTTTAGTATTAATTTTTTTCACTTATCCACCTTCCGGGCCGGGCCGAAAGTCTCAGCCCGGCCGACGGGCCGAAACTGTCAGGCCGGCCCTGGGCGTTTTCAAACCTGCTCAGGCCCGGCCCAATCACCGGGCCTGGCCGGGCCGGCCCAGCCCGATTGCCACCTCTACTTCCGGCAACCGCCTTGGCGCCACAACTCCAACAGCGGCTTCGGCGTATTTACAGAAAACATATTTTAGCTACCTCTCCACTTTTGCGTGAAAAAAAATGATTTTTTATGGTTACAATTACACTTACAAAAGCTGTTAAAAAATTAAAAAAGCACGAAAACACCAGGAAAAATCTTTTCTTACAAAGATAAAAAATATTCGAATCTCCCGATTCTCCCCCGCTTCTGATCGATTTATAAAGCGTCCAAGGGGCTGCGGCCTTCTTTCCAAAACAGAGAACACAAAAAATTTTGAGAAACAAAGGGAATTTGCCGCCTGGAAATAAATACGATCGAACCACTGTTCCGATTTCGGAAAATATCAGGCAGACCGCAAAGTAAGTGGGCTGTCAAAACAATCTGAATTTATTGGGAAAGTGGTCCAAGTGCGAGGCTCAGATTTTGATGAAACTTGGAACGAATTTAGAAAACTTTTTTATAAATTATATGTGAGGCTCTCAGCTTGTGCTTTACAGAAACAACCGAGATTTTTAGATCAAGAGTTGGCAAAAAAGTGATTTTTTTCGCAAATTTTTTTTACGAAAAGTACAGTGAGGAAGGAACCTGATCCAATGGCAAAAAACGTACCATTTTGCATCCGGGAGGTATCAAAAGTGTGGCAAAATACCTCCCTCTCCAAGTGAAAAAACTCCGATTTCAAAAGCTCTGTTTGTGAGGAAAGGGGCGCGCCCTTCAAAGCCAAGTCTTTCACTTGGAGAGGGAAGCATTTTACCACTTTTTTGATACTTCCCGGATGAAAAATGGTACGGCGTTTGCCACTGGATCTGGTCCCCCTCTGTATGGTACTTCTTTCTGTCGAAAAATTAAGGAAACTCTGAGCATTCCAATGGAGGTACTTCCCGTGTAAATGGAAGTTCAAAAAACGAGAGGCATGAACACTTATAGGCAATACTAGAAAAGGACGATCTATCAGTCTGTCGTGAAAATAATTTGGATTTATCGCAGCCAAATTTCTCGCCTTGTCGCAGCCGCGCATAAAATAGCCATCAGTCGCGGCGGAGGTTTCAAAGTGACGAAGGGCGATTGCAAGTCTCGAAAAATCCATATTATTTTCCCGACACACTTAAAGGATTTTAAAAAAAGGTACATACATGTAACTTTTATAAAATGGAACATCAAACTTTGCAGGTATTGTCTGGATAAATTATCAGTCTGTCGGGAAAATAATGAGCACTCTGTCGCATCGAAAATCGCATCGCCGCCGAGAAAATGAATTGTGTCGAAAACCAACTCGCTTTTCACTTCAGCGACAAGATCTTCGTAGCGATATTGTGCTCATTATTTTTCCGACAGATTGCTAAGTCTGTCCAGACAATACCAGCAAAGTTTGATGCTTCAAGCCTCCCCACCCATCGACCACTGTCCCAGAAAACACCCTCAAGATCGTTGTCTTTGGCCTTTTATACCCAAACTCGTTGATTTTTGGCTTCTTTTTTACGACAAACCCTTCAAAGTTCCGCCTTTGGAGCAAAGATTCGCAACTTTTTATGGCTCACATGTGATGTCTAGTCATTTCCTTCGGAATTGCACTTAAAAGTGCAACAAGTTTGGGAGAGTGCGTTTTATGAGTGGGTAATAAAATTCAATTCAAACCAATGGTCGTGTCACCGCTTCCGTTTGTAATCAAATCCTATCGGATTAAAGGGCAATTCAAGAAGTTTAAGGTAATGAAAAGATATTTTTATCAGTACAGAAACAGCAGAAACATGGGTTAAAGCGCAAAAAAGTTATAAAAATACGTTGGAAATACGAAAAAAATCATTTTTTGTTCACAATGTCTCGGCAATAAGCCAAATTCGCATAAATAAATTTTGCCGTCTGCAGCAACCTCGGGCGCACCTCGGCCACCCACATTGTTGTGTCCCGCAGCGAAAATTGGCATACGGTGGCGGCGTCTTTTTCCAACTTGTGGCCGAACGAGTAAAACAAGTAAAGAAGTACCAGTGAAGAAGTTACGGCCGGTTTTGTGCGATTATTTTCGAATATATCAGTCCAGAGGTCAAATTCAGCATCTGATGCATGTGTAATATAACTTTAAGAATTTTGACAGCGAATTTGAGGTATTTCTGAAGTGAAATTGGATTATAATCGAAGCTCATGGATCTGACGAGGTTATGCATCAGTTCGCGTCGAGGATTATGTAATGTATCGGGTCGAAAATTAATTTAGACATCAGATAGATGGGTAACATAAATTCGTCGAATTTACGTCGAATCTGTGGTTGGATTTGATCCAAAATCGATTCTCTTTGGCTGTTGTCAATGTTACGGGGTAGTGCGCCAAATTTTTCCGCGGGGTTTCTCCAAATAGTAATTTTTGAGATTCTGCACCATGGAAAATATAAATTCACCGATTTTAGGGAATTATGGGAGTGTATCTAGTCAAGAATGATTTTTTCTTGCTTGTTATGATTCTCATGAGCTCTCGCAGAGTCATCGCTTATGATTCTGCGTTTTTTTACCTCGAGAATAGCAAATATCTTATTTTGGCCAAGTACAATATAATATTTGGAAATTTTTGATGTTTTAGGGCGTGACCCGGATTTTATTATGTATTATCGTGTTTACAAGCTGTTGAGTCACTTGATCTCGTAATATTACCTAATTTTTGCTTTCAGATTATACTAACCAACTTCCCGCCTACTAACCGACATGTCCGCAATCCGCGAAATCGTTGCGGGTATCCATCGACTGGAACTGGGAGAACCGCCAGATGCGGAGGAGATTGCATACTGCGCGGAGCATAATGTTACGCCGTCCGACGGCCAGTTGCCTCCTCTTCAACCGCCTGGAACAGTCAAAGAATCTTACGTCAATGTCAGCTCCAATGTTTTCCCAATGAGACTGAACGCTTCGAAACTCGCCCATGTCTACGCCGTCAAGGTTTTTGCGGTCTCCTATACGGATGGTCAGCCAACATATCGGGAATTGACTGCTATTTCGAACGTTGAGTAAGTTGGTCTTATTTTTTCTTGGTTTTTAGATAAAAAATGGTTTGATGAAGGTTCAATTGAATTATTTAATCCAACTAAGGGTTAATAAATCTTCGTTTTTTTGTTTAAAAGGAGTGTTTTGAATTTTTTTGTCTAAATCAATGTCCATTTTTAGCTACTGGTTAGCCGAATCTCGACGAGTGATCGCTCTGGCCTTCAAATACGCTGTGAAGCGCAACAACTCTACTCTTCCTCCGCTATACGCCTTTGCATACGATGGAAGCGCCCGATTTTATTGTACCGAGAAACTTAGCGTTGGTGCCAATGTAAGTTCATGCCTATTAGGTATATTTGTTAATTCATTTTTTCCTTTTTGTTTATTGCAGTAGAGTAAATTTTTTTTTTAAATTTTTCATATTACTTTAGATTTTTTCAGGGCCGATTGACTGTCACGGCCAAGAGAAATGGTGACTCGAAGTTCCCGCTCAGCCAGCCTTTCTCCGAGGTTCTTTTGGAGATTACCGACAAAGATGACACGGTTGAGCTGACTCCTTCAGTCGTAGAAGCAGGAATCGGAAGTGTTCGGAAGTTCGAACGTTGTCTGGACGTTGTTACTAATCAAGGGATCCAATATGACGCGTAAGAAGCTTTGAATTGCCGATTTTTTCTATTTTTTTTACCTAGTATAATATAAAAAAATTTCAGAGATGGTCATGTGTGTTTCGGAGCCAACTGCAGCTATCTTCTGAAGCCCGAAGAGTTTGGATTTGACGGAAGAGATGCGCCGGAGCTTCCAGGAGGCGCCTATGTGGCTTTGGGAGCTCAGAAAACTGTTCGGCTGTTTCGCTCTGAACAAGGGAACAGCCCGGCAATGGTCATTGCTGGTGAGGATAATATGATATTTACCTAATTCTAAATGAATCTTCAGCGAAGAAAACGCCCTTTTTCGCCTGCATCTCCGTGGCTCGCTCCGTGTTTGAGCGCTTCCCGAAAATCCACGAAAAAGTGAATGGGTATCTTTCGGATCTGCAGGCCTATTACAAGCATCTCGTGGTGAACCCAACTCACCTAGCCAACAACGACAGACCCATTCAAATCCACGATATCATCGCCGGGAACGCGATTAACACCACTTTTGAGTATAATGGAGAACAGATCTCCGTCCAGGACTACTACAAACGCCGCTACAACATCGACCTACGATACCCAAGACTTCCGTTGATGGTGTGCCAGAGGTACAAGAATCAGCCGGAGTCGCGGACCTACCACCCCATGGAGTTGTACACCTTTGCCGACAATCAACGCCTCAAACAGCGACACAACAGCGCCGATGTGGTGGCGGCGCTGATCAAGGTTGCGGCCGTCGAACCACTTAATTTGATCAAGAAAATTTTCAACACCGGCAAAGCGTTGCACTTGTTGGAGAACAAGTTCCTCAAAACTTACGCGGTTGAAGTGGGAACCATGCCGATTCAGGCTCGCGGACGCATCGTCCCACTGCCCGCCATGATCTACGCCAACACACAGGTCAGCCTCTACGATCGCGACCGCAACACCTGGCGCTCGCACCAATTCTTCAAGCCCGCCAAAATCGGCGCGTGGGGCTTTTACGTGCGCGAAGACAACCGAGCCCACGTTGACGCTGTTTTAGAGAGGTTCATCAACGCATTTGTGGGCGAATGCCTGGTCAAGGGCATGGAGATTGGTCGCCCAACCGTCATCCGCGTCCTTGACACCATGGACGATTTGGCGGAGATCTTCACGAAGGCTACCGATGCCAAGTTTGAATTTTTGATGTTTATCTCCAACAAGGAGGACAAGAAAATTCATCGTAAGATTAAGAGGGATTTATGCAGTTTACAGCGGCGGATCTGACACAGTGGCAAAAAACGTACCATTTTGCATCTGGGAAGTATCAAAAATGCAGCAAAATGCCTCCCTCTTCAAGTGAAAAGACTCCAGTTTCAAAAGCGCCCCTGCTCTTTTTGAGGGAAGTCTTTTGAAATCTGAGCCTTTTCGCTTGGAGAGGGAGGTATTTTGCTGCATTTTTGATACTTCCCAGATGCAAAATGGTACGTTTTTTGCCACTGGATCAGGTCCCCCACTGTAGTTTGCGTGTTTAGCTCGAATCAAGAAGTTTGAGCGTGCCTACAACATTATCACCCAAAACGTGACCGTCCAAGTGGCCATGGATGCGTGTGGAGCAATGGCACCGCCGAAGAGGCTGACCATGGAGAATATTGTCGCCAAGACCAACATCAAAATGGGCGGACTCAACTACAAAGTGGGCGATATGGCCACAAAGTGGGTTTGATTAATTTTTTTTTGATTGTAAATTTAGGTTACAGAATGAGTAATTGGATTGTTTAGGAAGTTTCACGGCGATGAAGAGCTTTACATCGGAATCAACGCCGACACCTCAGCCGTTCGATTGCAAAATGACGCAAAAGTGCCGGAGTCGCACGCAGGAACCGCCGAGGTCACGCGCAATCCACTGGTGGTCGGCTTCACTGGCAACGACACCGCCGATCACACCAATTTCACGGGAGACTACATTTTCCAGGAGCCAAGAAGATTGATCAAGATCTCAGTTGTCATGCGGATTGTTACCGAAACTTTGGATCGATTCATTAAGAATCGCAAGGCTGTGCCCAAGAGAGTGTTTGTGTACAGAAATGGCCTGCCCGAGTCCGTTTTCACATTGGTGAGTTCAATTTTATATTATTGTTTTGGTTTTTAGGCAAGAAACTGAAAGTTTAGTCGAAGATTGAATAAAGGTCTGCGACGGCTGAAAATAAGTCAAAAAATTTTTGACTTTTTGAAGCAGGGAAAGGTGTATAAATGTTATATTTTTTCAGATCGCCAAGTACGAGATCCCGGCTATTAAGGCTCTCCTGAAACAGAAAGGAGTACCCCATCTGATCTATATTGTCCCCAACAAGTTTCACAATATTCGCCTTTATCCCACCGAGATTCGCGGCACCAAAGCATGGGAACAGAACCTTCCCATCGGAACTGTCGTTGACACCCGCATGGTCTCCCCGCTCTATCCCGAATTCTACATTCTAGGCCATGTGGCCAGACTGGGAACGGCCAAAATCCCGCGCTACTCGGTCCTCTGCAACGACCCTAAACTTACGATGGATCAGCTCCAGACCACTACTCTCCACTTGTGCTTTGGCCATCAGATTATCACCGGAGCCACCAGTCTTCCGTCTCCGGTCTTCATTGCCAATCGCTACGCCGAAAGAGGGAAAATGAACTGGATGTCCTTCCACAGCGATTCGTAAGTTTGGGAAGGTGTGGGGGAGGTGCTAGCCGGTTTGTGAAGCAAGCAGTTGGAGTGATTTTTCCGACATGCAATGTGGGCAAAGAATTTCACCTTGCACTGTGCAATTTGTTGCTTTTTGCACCGTGCAATAGGCTTTTTTCGGGTGTCGCTCGCACTATGATTTTTTTTGCACAGTGCAAAGCAAAAGGCATTTCGGCGACATGCACTGTGCGAAAACAAAAGTTCACTTTGCACTGTGCAATGTGTTGCTTTTTGCACCGTGCAATAGGCTTTTCTCTGGTGTCGCTGGAACCTTGAACTTTTTTTGCACAGTGCAAAGCAAAAGGAATTTCTGCGACATGCACTGTGCGAAAACAAAAGTTCACCTTGCACTGTGCAATTTTTTGCACAGTGCATATCGCAAAATCACTCCAACTTTGAACGGACTAGGAAAAAATGGGGAAATTTTTGAAGTTTTCGTTCTCTTTCTTATAATTTTATTTGGTTGTTTTCAGCTCCATCACTGTGCGCGACGATGCCAGTCAAGTGTCGGAGCCACCTGAAGATGAGTTCACTTACGAATTTTTCACTCACAACTACTCCTACAGCGGAAGTCATCTTCGCAACGTCCGCTTCAACGCCTAAGTTACTGCGTATTCAATGGATCAATTGGATGGTTTGTTTCTTTTATTTTTTGTTTGTTTTTTGATCTTTGTTAATATTTGAATCTTGGCAACTGCCCATTTCTTTTTTTTTGTTCTCTTTCTCACTAATATTAATATCTGTTTTCAATTTCTCTAATAGTAATAGAAAGCTTGGATTTTTAATTTCAATGTTTGAATGGAGATTTTGGAATTTGTTTATATTTTGATTACAATGTCGGTTCTTTGTTTAGTAATTCAGTAATATTTCTCTGCCCATTTTGTTTATAGTTATTAGATGCCTCTTGATGATATTTAGACATCTATTTAGATTATTATAATTTATTTTTTTGAGTAGTTTGAAATATCTTTCCGTTATTTAGGATTTTAATTTTTTTTGTTTTTTTCCGTCTCACTAATATCAATAATATTTTTTTGAACTCACCTAATATTAATACGAAATTTGAGAATCTAATTGGTTGTTTTCGGACCCTGTTTGCCGTTAGACTTTGTTCCAAATGCCTTGCTGTTTATTGTTTGTTTTTTCTTTTGTTAATTGTTTGTTTTATTGTTTTTGTTTTTTGTTTAGGATAATAAAGTCCCTAAAAAAAGTTTGAAGGATAAATTGGAAGATTCAAGATTCTCCGGATACTGAAATTGATGATTTGCTTTATTATTTTTTTTTTGATGTAGTGGAATGTATGTTAATGCCAATGGGATTTGGTGTTTACTTAGGGGTCTGGCTGATTTTATTTTGACAGGAAAAGCCTCAAAAGTTAATACTGTTTATTGCAGCGAAACGTTAATAGACCGTTCTCAGCGAGATCGCGGAAATACGAAAGAGGATGGTGAAAAAGTGGAGGTGAATATATACGGTCATAAGTTGAAGAGAGTGGACAAAAATGAGTTATTAGAACATGCAGAGAATTTTGTGGGATTCTGACTATTTCAACATTTCTATGTGATTCACAATATCACCGTTTGGCAGTTTTTCGTTTCGATTCTCATCGATCAAAACCTTGGCTACGGGCGCGGGAGGGCCGTACGATGGTTGTTTGCGAGTGGCTCTGGGAATTAGCGCCGGCGCCAGTTGAAGCCGCGGCAGAAATTCCAAAATAAAATCTTGGAATGCGGATGGGAGAAAACTCAAGGGCATAAACAGTAACCGAGCGTCCAACCCGCAGACGTATCGGGTTTTGGGGCGAGTGGAGAGAATTGCATGCATGTAGGCGTTGATTACTTCGGAGAGATTGGGGTTGGCAACCAAATCGACTCCACTCATCCATTGCGAAATAACTGGAAATCAGTAGGGTTTAATGGTTGAAATTTTTTTTGTGATAGATAGCACGGAAGGATATTGATCTTAATTTTCGGAGATATATCAGTTTGTCGGGAAAAGAATGTGTATTTTCACAGCAAAATCTCTCGCCTTTTCGCAGTCGCGCTTCAAATCTCCAGCGTCGCAAAGCGGTGATGGGCAATTCAAAGGCGCAACAAATCTACATTATTTTCCCGACAGACTGTTATATCTCCGAAATCTATGGTCTAGATAGTGGGGGACCTGATCCAGTGGCAAAAAATGTACCATTTTGCATCCGGGAAGCATCAAAAATGTGGCAAAGTACTTCCCTCTCCAAGTGAAAAAAACGTCGTTTTGAAGGGCGCGACCTTTCCCTCACAAAAAGAGCGGATGTGCTTTTGAAATCGGAGTTTTCAATTGGAGAGGGAAGCGTTTTGCCACATTTTTGATACTTCCCGGATGCAAAATGGCACATTTTTTGCCACTGGATCAGATCCCGTACTATATACGTCATAAATTTCGGAGATACGTCAGTCTGTCGGGAAAATAATGTGGATTTGTCGCGCCTCGAAATTGTCTATCATCGCTTTGCGATGGCTAGCCGCTGTGGAGATTTGAAGCGCGACTGCGAAAAGACGAGGCATTTTGCTGTGAAAAATCCGCATTATTTTCCCGACGAACTGATATATCTCCGAAATCTATGATCTAGATTTCCCAGTTTCATCAAAATCTACGCGCATCTTGAGAATTTCCTCTCCAAATTCCTTTTTTGACTTACAATTTTCCTTGAACTCCTCTCCATATTCCTCCTGAACATCCTTGGACAGTTTGTTCCAAGTGACGTTCACTCTTTCCAGCATTGCATTCTTATTCAAAAGCGTCGTTTTGAACGCCCCCGGCTCAATGATGTGCGCCGAAACTCCGAAAGGCCGGAGTTCAAGCCGCACCGAGTCCATAAAACCTTGTAGCGCGTACTTGGCCGTCACATAGGGTGCCGTGTAGAAGCCGTGAATTCGGCCCGAAATCGAGACCATTGTGACCAGCCGCCCGCGAGAGCGTTTCAAAAGCGGCGTGAACGTTTTCGTCATCCGAATCGTGCCCAGCAAGTTGATCTCGATCGAGGTTTTGTACTCATCCATTGTTACCCAATCGTTTGGGCCGTAGATGGCGCAAAACCCGGCGTTGTTGACCAGAGCCCAGAGTTTGGCTTTCTGAAAAAAGGGTTTATGATGCGCTAATGAAGTAGAATTTTTCCAAGGAAAGTACCTCTAGGGGGTGTGGAGTTACAGGTCGAGACATACATCAAAAATTCGCAAAATTTTTTTGATTCAGGATGTGTAAAAGTTAGCTGCCTAATTTTGGTTTGTAAGGGTGAAAAAAATCCTCAGAACTTGTCTCGCAACACCACACAAATGGCCCTTTTTTATATTGGAACTACTAATTAAGGTGTAGTATTAACTGTGGCAATGTCTTTTTGGCCAAGTTTTTACCGAATCAAAAGCTTTGTTTTGAGCTACAGTAAACCCTGGCACCTTCACAAGCCTTACAATATAAAATTTGATTAATACTACGCCTTAATTAATACTTCAAATATAAAAAAGGGGGCATTTGCATGGTGTTCCGAGAAAAGTTCTGGGGGTTTTACACCATTGCAGACCAAAATTATGCGGCTAACTTTTACATATTCTGAATCAGAAAATTCTTACGATTTTTTTGATGTATGTCTCTACCTGTAACTCCATGACCCATAGAAGTGCTTTCCTTGTGACAAATTCCAACTATTTTTGAGAGCTTTACCTGTCTGTTCAAGATCCCCGTGACCACAGCGAAGCACTGATCCACCGATTGTTGTTTTGTAATGTCCAATCGAATAGTTTGGACAGCTCCGCAAAATTGTAGACAGTCCCGTTTCATCTGTTCTTCTCCCTGAAAAAATGGAGATTCAGTTGTATTTATTTTACAAAGCACAGTAGCGGACCTGATCCAGTGGCAAAAACGTATAATTTTGCATTCGGGAAGTCTCAAAAAATGTGGCAAAATGCTTCCTTCCCAAGTGAAAAAACTTCGTTTCGCCCCTTTCGCTCACAAAGAGAGCGGGCGCGCTTTTGAAATCGGAGTTTTTTCACTTGGAGAGGGAGGTATTTTGCCACATTTTTGATACTTCCCGGATGCAAAATGGTACGTTTTTTTGCCACTGGATCAGGTCCCCCCCTGTATTTATTTTACAAACACAGTAGCGGACCTTATCCAGGGGCAAAAAAAACGTATCATTTTGCATCCGGGAAGTCTCAAAAAATGTGGCAAAATACCTCCCTCTCCAAGTTCTTTTTGTGAGGGAAAGAGCGAAAACGGAGTTTTTTACTTGGAGAGGAAGGTACTTTGTTGCGTTTTCGAGCCTTCCTGGATACAAAATGGCACTTTTTTCGTCACTGGATCAGGTCTGTTACTGTAAAACAATTTTGAAAATATTTGTTTTCGTTTGAAAAATCGTTTGTTCGGGCACTTAAAAGTGGCTAAAATGTAAGTAAAAATTCTGTTTTTTAATGACCTACCATCTCGGTTAGGCACGTTGCGAACACGTTCATCCCTCTCTCCACTAATTTCAACGCCAATTCTCGGCCAAATCCCGAATCGCAGCCGGTAATGAGCACATAATTTCGACGACATTCGTTGACAATTTGCGAGGGATAGACCCGAAATCGTCGCTCGCCATTGTTGTAGATGAAATATAAGGTAGCGAAAGCAATGAAAATTATGACTAAAACCGAGAGGTTGAGATTCCCGAGATCCTTGTAAAGCAATATTGCGCTCCAGTCTAGAAGAAGGTCCGGAATGGCATCGTCCTCCATTTGGAGACGGGATGAATTGTCGATTAAAGCCGCCAAGTTAGTAAAAAATGGGAGATCTTGATCTGTAAAGTTGGTGAATTTTTGGAAAGCGTGTAAAACGGGATTTTTTGATTGAAAAATTAAAGTTTAAAATAACACGTGTGTAGCGAAGTTTGAGACACGTTGGAAGATAGTACTACTCACGCCATAAAGTCCGTAGAATTTTTTTTGGCGAAGCCGCAAGGCAAGTCAAAAAAGATAGAGCAAAACGCTCAAGCAATGACAAATTTTTGACATTCTGTTTTAGCTCAAGGATAATCTTTTGCTTCAAAGATAACCTGATTAAACAAGGAAGATGGGGTAGAACGGGTTTATTGCATACATAAATTTGAAGCTGGACTCCTGCTTGACCTCACCATATATGTTTCATATAAAAAATCGGTCGTCTTCTATCTGTTTGAAGCCCTAAACTAAAAACGCCTAAAATATGTTGCGATTTTGCCGATTTTTACAAGAGTTTCCCTCTCCCATGGTTGAAGTTTGATGGAAACATAGGCTGGAAATAAGGTGGATTTTTTGAGCCTAATACCAAAAAAATCAAATGAGTCTGTTTCGAGATGAAAATATCTTCATTTTACGCAATATTTCGCCTTTCGTCTGACCCCGTCTAAAAACCGTCACGGATTTTTTGGACACTTGCGTAAGCTAACCCTTTGAGCGCTAAATCTTGACGTGCGGTAGATTCTCGCAAAGTGCATGTCGCTAATGCAAAAACGGGAGATCGCAGCGGCGCGTGCGTATAAAAACAGGACGAATCTATCACTGTGCAAAAGTAAACGGACAATATGGCGCGACTCTACGTTTATGGAAGGTTTTCCAGCTTTCGCTTTACGGATTTTTTAACCGAAAATTGCCGAATGTTCAAGAGCTTTCCGAAAAAACTCGGCCGAAAATTTAAGCTTGTTCCACGGGTTCACTACAGGTTTTACAAAAAAATATACAGCCTTTCTATGCCCCACACCAAAAACCGCAAACTTTCGCCGAGCTGAACTCATTTTTCAACCGCTATTCGCAAATTGGAACGGCTTTCCTCCAATCCTTCCAAATAGCTTTGAATTTCACCCAAATTCAGCCTAAGGCGATCGGAGAAAAACCGAAGAATGACCGATTTCTTTCCGCAAACTCTTACTCTTCGAGCTACTTCTGGATCGGAAAATGAAACTTTTGTTCTCAATGAATCCTTCAAAGTGGTTTCATTTTTTTCGAAGCTGCGCATGCCCGCGAGGCGTTTTTTGGAAGTGTTGGTCAACAAGGTCACGAAAATCAGACACAGGTGGAAAAAAGGATTCGCTGCGATATACGTATGATATATAACATATATCATATGATATATACCATGGTATGTTAGCGTTCCGGATCGCGCTTATCGGAAACTGGCGACATTTTACTTCACCTCTAAAAATCCCAATTACAGACCCGGAAAAAAGTGACGCCACAACTTCTGTAGGGATCAGAAATTTGTTCTGATTCGGTCGTTCGAACTCTCCGTTAAATCTCCAGCCGCAAATCCCACCCTAATCGCTGCGTTGCACGTAACATGGGCGCTCAAGAGTCTTGATCTCTATTTTTCCTCCGTTTTCTTTTCCCATCTTTAGCGCTCTCTCCACATCCCCACGGTCTTCATTTTTTCAAATGTGTTTTCTGTGTTTTGAACAGATTCCGGCGGATTCTGAAGGCAGACCTCGAGCGTGGATTTGCGCAAAATAAAGGCCAAGGTCATCGCCGCAGTCAAGGAGATTTTCTTCGTTTTTTCGCATTACTCTCGAGGTTTTCGGCGAGAGAAAAGGGGATGAGAAGGTTTGGGAAGGAAAGTACAAGAGTCGGAAAAAACATTATGCAACATGAACCACATGTTACATCAAAAAGACGACTGTAAAATTTAGTTTTTGGGCATGCAGCTACGCAAAAGGAGGAAGTCTCCGATTTGTTGAAAGCTAAAGTAAGCATACGTTTTTAAGATTCAGGAAAAAGAAAAAATGTGTTTTCTGGAAATTACAGGGTGTCCCAAAAAAAAATGCATGTTTTTTTATGGCTACATTTTACATACCAAACAAAATTTAACAAAACTAACGATGGATATCAGTAACATAGAGGATTATTGATAACGTGTCAAGCCAGTTTCACAGTGGCTGCCTTTGGTGGCGATATATAGCTCCAAATGTAACTTAAAATTTTGGGCTCGGGGCCGCAGCTGTTTTCGGGGAAATCGGTCCCGTTCTTGGCGCAACGATTGCTTTGCGACTCCAAACATTTGTGGCATGTAGTACAGGCGTTGGCCTCCAATTTAAAAAAATTTTTGGTCCATCGGATTCAGATCCGGCTCGCCGACGGCCATTTTGCAGACGGGATAAAATCGGGAAAATCGGTTCCATTCCGGGTCCTGAGTTGATTTTGCCTTGTGAGCCGGCGCTGAGTCTTGTTGGAACGCCAAATTTGCATTGCCAAGGTTCTGCTGAGTCAACAGAAGTACGAGAAAATCAAGATTAACGCGGCGCTAGAATTTTGCCCCCTTGATCCGCGAAAACCATAGAATTCTTGCCGCTGGCACAAATTCCGCCTTAGGCAATGACGGCCCGGATTTTGACGGTTTTCGACGTTAGCCGACATGCCGAGGGCCTCATCTAAGAAGATCCTATGGTACTGGTGGTTGTGCAGCCGCCAAATATTGAACCACGAACTGAATGCGCTCACCCCTATGAGTTGCGGCCCAGCCCTTGACTTTCCGGCATTTTTTGCGCCGCACGCACTTGCCGTCAACTTTAAAGATCTGAGCTTTTGACAGCTTATACAGCGTAACGCACAGCTCATCATAGACTATTCGGGTGACCGATCGGTCGCTGATGCCGATCTCACAGGCAAAATTTTCTTGAAAATAGCGTTTTGCTGTTGGTGATCTCCCGGTTGACAGAACCGCTGGCGGTGCGTTTTCCTTTACGTCCTGGACGCTTACTATCGTTATCAAGCTCCTTACATCGCGTGATTAGTTTTGACACAACGTCCTTTCTATACTGGGCAAATTTACAACTTGAACGGCTCAAAAATAGTGACAAAATCGCAGTTCCTTTGTCTGACATTTTAAAAAACCATGCTACTTAATCGATATGAACACAAAACTGAAATGACTAGGGCAGAAAAACACGGAGATTTTAGCAGTACAAAAACCTTTTGGCCTGACCTAAACATTTTCGCGTCAGGACCCATGGAAAAAACATGCATTTTTTTTGGGACACCCTGTAGAATGCTCTCCCAATAAAGGCGAATTGAAAAGGCGTGTCAGCAAATTATTAAATCTGCTATAATTTGATCGTCAGACAGCTGATCCCAGTGTATCTTCGAGATTCTAGAGTTTTTTGCTAAAAGGTCAAGTAATTTTCAGATATGTCTGAAGGATTACCACATGCTTTAATCGTCGGGAATAGAGTTTTCAGGCGTCACAAATTTCATGTAATTTTTGACCTAAAAAATGCAGGGAGCCAGCTGAAAAGACACGTACAATATAAAGACAGAATTTACTGACCAAAAGGGCTTCCGATTGCGTCCGGGAGGCATTCGGAATATCACTAAATGCCTCGAAGGACTCTGTTTTGGGTCAGAGAAAGAGGCATTTAGTGATACAGTGGCAAAAACATACCATTTCGCATCCGGGAAGTATCAAAAATGTGGCAAAACCTTCCCTCTCCAAGTGAAAAAATTACGTTTTGAAAAATTACGTTTCCTTCACAAATTGAAATCGGAGTTTTTTCACTTGGAGAGGGAAGCATTTTGCCACATTTTTTATACTTCCTGGCTGCAAAATGGTACGTTTTTTGCCACTGGATCAGGTCCCCCCACTGTATTCGGAATGCCTCCCGGCCCCAATCAGAAGGTTCATCAGTGGAATCCATCCCGCACTGTACGTGTCTTTTCAGCTGGTTCCTTGGATTTTCCATGTCAAAAAATTCATGAGATTTTTCATATGTCTGAAAAGCACCTCATATGGTAATTGGCCAGGCACGTGTTTCGTCGAATATTAATCTCAAGAAGTGGCGAGTTTTGTCAATATTTGTTCATCTACGTTTGAGCCTTTCTCCTGAGGAATTGATGTTCATTTACAGTTTCGGTGCTCGCACAATAACCATCAAAATATGTAGAGTAAAGCTCCTCTTGGATTGTTTTTCCAATTATTGGATGCAGAGCCATTTTGACGAGGAGCCTTTCTGATTTGAGGCGCAGATCCTCATACTACTGCCATTACCTCACTTTATCGGTAGATCTTTGGAATTCACGCAGATAAATCTCCGTGGATTCTTGCCGTATTGTAGGTCGGCCCAAGTGCAATTGAAGGGCTAGGTTATTTGAGAGAACTAGGTAAACGACCTTGAAATAATCTTCGGCTTGCAATTAAGCGGGCCGGAAAGTTCCATTTTCTGGAAAAACCCGGGATTTCGTGAAATGTAAAGGCTGGGTAGCCCGGACCCATGCTTAATAAGAAATCGACATGTTATTGCCAAAAATTGGTAAAAACTGATTTGTGGGTGTCCGAGTATCGATTACAGAAGATTTTGTCCACATTTTAGACTAGAAATCAAGACTTGAAAATTTTGTGTAGTTTTATCACTCAATTATCAAGAATACGTCTCACGGAACGCACAAAAAATAGATTATAACACAAAACAAAAAATTATATCATCAAATGCATGACTTTGATTACTGTGTTTTCCATGTCATGCTTCCTTTGTTTTCTGTGTAATCGGAAATTGCAGTGTTCCCAACAAATGCGTTACAACTAAAACCCAACTTAATTGCCTTATGATAAGGACATAGAGTAACGGACCCGATCCAGTGGCAAAAACATACCATTTTCTTTGAAAGCGTGCCCTTTACTTCAGAGAAAGAACGCCCGCGAATTCAAAGCAGTGTTTTTTGGTCAGAAAATGGAGGTGTTTTGCTGAATTTTGTTTCTTTCCTGGATGAAAGACGATACGTTTTTTGCCGCTTGAACAAATCCGCCATTGTACTCCATATTCTCACAGTGACATGATCCAGTGGCAAAAAGATACTATTTTGCATTCGGGAAGCATCAAAAATGTGGCAAAATGCTTCCCTCTCCAAGTGAAAAAACTTCGTTTTGAAGGGTTCCCTTTCCCTCATGAAAAGAGCAGACGCGCTTTTGAAACCGGAGTTTTTCACTTGAAGAGGGAAGCATTTTGCCACATTTTTGATACTCCCGAATGCAAAATAGTATCCTTTTGCCATTGGATCAGGTCACTGTGAGAATATGGAGTACAATGGCGAATTTGTTCAAGCGGAAAAAAAGGTATCGTCTTTCATCCAGGAAGGAAACAAAATTCAGCAAAACACCTCCATTTTCTCTCCAAAAAACACTGCTTTGAATTCGCGGGCGTTCTTTCTGTGAAGGAAATGGCGCGCTCTTGAAAGGAGTGCTTTACGGGAGGAGGTATTTTGCTGAATTTTGGTTCCTTCCTGAACGCAAGACGCTACGTTTTTTGTCACTGGAACAGGTCCGCTACTGTAGTTAGAGAACGCTTTCTGGACCTAACACTTGGATTTGGAACGCCTTTTTTATTGTTGCACTCATCGAATAAAATTACGATTTGCCGTAATAAAGATAAGAGAAAGGTTCACAAACTTTATGACTAAAAACGTCGAAAGTTATGGGCAATTGTCAATGCTTACAAAACTTATTTTCACAAGTTTGTCACGGCCCACATCGTGTTAACAAATCGCCATTTTGCGGCATGAATTTCATCTTTTTTTCACGAAATATCGCCGCGACCGAGGCTTTTTTTTCGACTGGGCTTTTGCTGAAGAATTTGCACAGTGCAAACGGCTTTCTTTGTGATTTGCACTGTGCGAAAAGAGAAAAATCCACTGTGTTGGCGACAAGTGTAGAAAAAAGTTCAAAATGCACTGTGCAAAAGACCGCAAATGTCCATGCACTTTATAAAAATACTACTAATATCAGTCTGTCGGGAAAATAATGAGCACAATGCCGCAGCGTCAATCGCGTCGCTAAAGTGAAAAGAAATTTGATCTTGACGAGACACACTTCATTTTCTCGACGGCCATGCGATTTTCAGCGCGTCAGAGTGCTCATTATTTTCCCGACAAACTGATAATAAAATCAACTTTATTGCTTGCAATTTTCATTGTGCTTTATCCGTTGGCTTACGATATTATCATCTAGGCTTCTGAATTCTTGCACTGTAACACCATGCCTTTTTTTGTTCGTCCAAACTACAACCCCTGTCTTATCGGTGGGCCTAGCCTTCTCTCCACTCCCAGCCACACCCACAATCTCCTAGTTATGCGTGTGACTGCTCTAACTCTCTTAATTATGCGTTATCTCGATCCTCGCTTAATTCCACGAATTCGAAACAAACTTGAAAAACTTTTCAGCTTCCCGACAAGTGCAATTATCGTTTTTCGATAATGGAAATGAGCGTTATCGGATTTCAAAATCGTCTTTTTTTATTTCAGTCCCTCCCCAAAAAAGCGGCACGGTATCAGATCAGATTTGGTGTCGACGTGCCACTTAAGGGCCGCCCGAACTTTTCGCCCACGAATCAAAGATAAATCAACGACGAATTATCTTTGTCCCAGATTTCTGCCGGGCGATTCGCGGCGGAGATTTGGAGGATTCTTCGCCAATTTCCCTCAGCTTTTCATTTTTCTTCGATTTACGACAAGTGTTGAGCCGGTTTCCTTTCTTCAACTTAAAGTTTGTAGGGTTTGAAGTGCTTCAAGTCTTGATTTCAAGTTATGTAGAAACTTTCGGTTCTATTGTGAGGGTTTCTTGGCATTCTACTTCTTATTGTCTATAGCTTGAGTGTGTATTAGTCAGACTTTACAACGACGACTACAATGCCCCGTCCGCACAAAGTTTGCCTTGTTATTTGCAGCCAATGTTGAGTTCATTCTAGTCTGTCTTTATCGGTGACAGTCTCCCCCTCCCATACCCTGAATTTTGTAGGTATGATGTTTTATCAGCGTTCCAACCGGCTGTCTGTCCCTTCACGTCATTCATGGCACTCCTTCTTGTCTTTGTTGTTTTCCGGGCGTTCAGTATTTTGTTGTTGCGAGTGCAATGGGCAATCTTTCACATACAGTCTATGGCTATTTCCTGAAGGATTTGAGGGTGATTAAACTTTTGTGGCTTTTTTGGAAGCCACAACAATTTCTTGTCATGACTTTTGAGTTATAAGCAGAGATTGCCACGGTCAAAATTTCGGCTCCGGCTCCGGCTCTTAGCTCCCAGAGCCGGAGCCGAGGCCAAATTTGCAGCTCCGGCTCTTGACTCCGTGCAAAATTTAAAAAGGCCTCCGGTTCCGAATCCCGGCTCCTATGCAAAATGTTTTTTTAAAAATATTTTTCCAAAAATAAAAGTTATTAGTGCCAGAGATCATACAGCCAACGTTTTTGCAATCAAGTCACATCCTCCGCAGTGTTTTTCAAGCAATTTGGTTTAACAAGATCACAAAATTTTTACTTTTCTGACCGCTGGGAAGCCTGGCTCCCGGCTCGGAGCCGGAGCCGCTCAGAGCCGGAGCCAACAGTCGGCCCCGGAGCCGTGCCAATCTCTGGTTATAAGAATCCTCAATGTTCAGCATTTTTCGAATCGAAGCTGTTGCATTATAGTCCATGTATTATTAGTCATCTACAAGCTGGCCCCGGAATTCCTGAAACTTCCCAGCCAAGAATCTCCGTAGTTTCTGCAAAGCACGATCTTTTATGAGTATGTCGGGAAAATAATGAACGCATCGCTGAAGTAAAAAGCAGTTTATGTTTGCCGCGACATAATTCATTTTCTCAGCAGCGACTTTCGATGCGACATTCATAACATACGTTTAGACACTTATCTAAACCCATTTCCACAGCCAAATAGCGAGTTCCTAGCGGCCCACCCAGTTTAATTTTATCCCTTAATCATTCGCGATTCGTGGTATTTCTGTTTGACAGCATTTGCATCATCCTTTCCACCAAACAATTCTGCAAAATCAAACAGTTTTTTTAGGCGGTCTAATTTATTCTAATCGTTTTCGGACTTGTTTTCCAAAAAATCGTCATGCTTTATTGATCAACTAGATCCTCAAGGCTTAGCGATACTTTTCCTGGAAGCGGAGCGCGTGTTTTGTAAATTTGTCGAATTCTCTCCGAATATTTTGCTCACTGATCCTGTTCACGTGAAGATCGGAACAATTCGGTTGTCCATTTTGCTTTTACTGGAATTTCAAGCTGTTCTTGTAATTTGTGAAGGGTTTTTTATACTTGCTGTGACCTTTGGCGATACTACTCGATTTGCAAAGTCGTTGGAGTGATTTCAGTTTTTTTGGGGCTGTCGCTTGCGCTCTGACTTTTTCTGCACAGTGGAAACTCCAAAAATTATTAGCATTTTCACAAAGTGCCTAGACATTTTTTCGCTTTCGCACAGTGCATCTTGAATTTTTGTCGCGAACGCACTGTGGAATTTTTCCTTTGCGCACTGTGCAACCCCTAAAAAAGCCGCTTGCACAGCGCATTTTTGAGAAAGAAAAAAAAAACCAAAAAAGGTGAGTGCACAGTGCAAAAAATCGGGAGCTTTTTTGCACGGTGCGGGCTGTGACAAATGTAGGCACTTTGTGAAAATGCTAATATTCCGGAAAGTTGCCGGACTAATTTTTGGCGTTTGCACAGTGCGAGAAAGTCAGGGCGCGAGAGACGAAAGAGGCCTATGTATTGCACGGTGCAATAAGCAAGAAATTGCACAGAGCAAAGTAAACCTTCGTTTCCTCACAGTGTGTGCCGCCGATTTCAGTCTGGCGGCATTCCGGACGGATTGTCGGTCTGCCGGGAAAATAATGAACACATATGTGCCATTCGCGTCGCTGAAGTGGAAAGCAATTTGATTTTGCTGTGGCACAATTCATTTTCTCGGGCGATTTAAGTTTCGATGAAAGTTGGCTCATTATTTTACCGACAAACCGGTAGTGTTACATCCAGCTGAATCGTTCAGTTTTGCCTATCCGTTTGTTTCTTTTTTGATTTTTTTACCTTCTTCGAAACGTCACAGGCTCTTCTATTTTTCGTGAATTTTAGCATCTATAAAGTAATATTCGCAATCTCATATTAAGCCCTCGAAATTGCAGACACAATGACGAAGCGTCATGCAGACACAGACCAAGATCAAGATCAGCCTCCTCTTCACCGACCTCTCCCAATGCCATCCGCATCTTACGCTCAGCCAATCACAGCGCACGGGGAACAGCCCTGTTCCAGCGCCGGCATCATCTACCCCGGTCAAGTGAGAGTGGCGACAGCGAGCAGCCAGCTCCATCATCCGCAACCTGTCCGGCCGCAGGTTCAAACTTCTCAAAGCAATCAAACTCAAGGCCAGAATATTCAAAACCAACCGCCCACTTCGTTGAATATCCAAATCTCTCAAAGCCAGGGAAATTCGGCGTTAGCGGCCTTCCTTCAGACCAGCCAAAGTCAAGTGGGGCAACAAAATTTGTTGACGGTGGCGTCGCAAGCCAACTCACTGGCCAACTTCAACCCGCCAAGGCCAAATTTGTTGCTTTCGGGCCAAAATCTCACCAGCCAGATGCAAAGCCAGCAAAACCAAGTGAATTTAATGACGAACCAGACAAGTCAAGGTCAAACAAACTTTGAGAATGCCGCTTCAACGCAGTCACAAGGCCAGAATGTCTTCGGCAACGGTTCGGCGCAGCCTCAAGTCCAATCCAGTCTTGCGAATCGAGTTAACACCCAAGCGACACAAAATCTCCTGCAGTCCAGCCAACCGCTCCAATTCACTCCCTCCCACGGGCTCACCAATCCCGTCCAAACGCATCCAACGCTCGCCGCAACGCTGAATCAGCCCATTCAGGGGAATAACCTCAACTGTGGAATGGGAAATTCGACGATTTCGCAGATCTTGTTGACCGGTCAGCCATTGCCAAGCAACCAAGTCAAGCCCAATAACGGGCACAACAATGGGCTGTTGCTGAATATGGCCAAAGTCCCGGCAAATTTGGCCAATTTACCGAACAGCACCTTAGGCGTTCAATTGGTTGGCAATGGAAATCTAGTTGGAATTTCGACCGCAAACTCTATGCTTGATGGAAAAATGAGCAACAATTTGAATGTTAATGGCAATGGACTGTCGGTTTCAACCTCCACTACTCCGAATATGATGACCAACAACGCCAGCAACCTCCTGGCCAACAATGGAAATGGAATCGCCGTGATGCAAAGCAATGGCAATATAACGATGATTCCGGCCGGGAATTTGGTGCAGAATGGGCAGCAAATCGGCGGTGCTATGCAAATTAATAGCGGAATAAACTTGAGCAACGGCCAAATTATGCAGAATAATGGAGTTAGCACTCTGAACAATGGTCAAGCATTGTGCATGCAACAGAATGGCCAAGCGATGCAGCAGAACGGTCAACCTATGACCATGCAAAACAACGGCCAAATGAACCCGTCCGCGATGGTGGTGCTGAAGAACGGGCAAGTCGCGTCCAACGTTGGCGTCCCGATTATCCACAACGGGAATGTGGTTGGGTTTGCGCTGGATCCGGCGGTCCGCGGGCGCCCGCAACGCCCGACAATGATTCAGGGCGTTCGAGTCAACGGCCAACCCTATATGATTGCGGCGAATGGGATGGTTGTTCCTGTGTTGGGCGCTAATCAAATTGTGGGCCAAGGGATGGCATTGCCGCAGGGCTACGTGCAGCTGGGAGCGAATGGAACTGCAGCTAATGGATTTATGATGAACGGAATGAGCGAGAGTTGCAACGATAAGGGTAGGTATAATAATTTTGGCTTTGACATTTTGTCGAGAGGCCTGGGGAGGCAACCATACGATAAGACAAGAAGCTCGAGTTGAAGTCATTTATTGAGTGAAAAGCGGCCCATGTCAAACTGAGATAACCTAAAACAGTCCGTTGAATATATTGGCAACTTTCCAAAAAAAGACGCGAAAAAACGTTTTGTCGAGGAAGAAATGGGGAACTTTTGGGGCGAGAGAGTACGCTTTTGCGTGTCTTTTTTCTCTCTTTCTCTGTGAAATCAAGACGACGTGTAAAAAACCGGTAGCGAAGAATCTATTCCAGTCACCGGACTCCTCAGTTTGACGTGCGGCCCTTATATAGGGAAATCCCACGTAGGAAAGTACAATCAAATTTGAATACTAAATGATGATTTCCGGGGAATTCGGGCTCGAAGTTCGGTCGTTCCGCCTCACACATCTGACATTAAGAAATGTCGGAGAAGTGAAAATTACTTTTTTTCGAAGAAACAGGGGAGCTTTAATATTTTTGATGACATTTCCGACACTTTCAAACCGCTGAAGACCGTTTGAAAAATGCTGTTTCAGTCTGTCGGGAAAATAATGTGGATTTGTCGCGCCATGTAATTGCCCATCATAGCTTGCGACGGCTAACTGCGGCTGGAGATTTGGTTCGCTAATGCGACGAGACAAAAATTTTTTCGATATCTCCACATTATTTCCCCGACAGGCTGAGATAGAAGCCATGTTGGGATGACCTTTACTACCGTTTTAGTTTCTGTACGTGATCTTTGTTTACGAGGAGAATGAACCGACATTAAACTGTTCAGAAACGTTCCTTTTCGTGGGAAAACTGTTTTCTCATTTCTCTTCTATAATTTATTGGGGCTTTTGAGAACCGAATCACATGATCAATACAAGACAACTTTACCAGCAAGGAAAGAACCCCAAGTGCGACGCTGAGATTTTGATGAAACATACATAGTGCAAAAATTTAGGATAATTTTTTCTAAGGCATATGCGAGCCTCGTAGCTCGCGCTTTGCAGAAACGATCGAGATTTTTTAGTCGAAAGTTACAAAAAGCCATAATCTTCCCTAGAAAAAGCAATTTTTTCATATGAAACTGGCAAAGGAATGGCAAAAAAGCGTTTTTCTGCATGATCTCTCTCCCCCTGTTTTACGTACACTCTCGGCCGGAAAGATCGTTTGAAATCTTAGTTGCCCCTGTAAAGCGCAAGCTGAACCCTTCTGAAATTTATATGTGGGCAATGCCAGAAATGTGTGCAAGATTTCAAGAAAATCGGGGCATCGCACTTGCAGTACTTCCCTAGTAAAAAGTAACACCTTCAATTTTTAAATTTTTGAAAAAATATGCAATTTTAGACCGGTCTTTCTTTTCGTATTTTAAAAATATGACAGGCTTCTCTTTTTTCGTACTTTACCTTAAAATATCTCCTCCTCATTTTCAGATCAATACTCGCAAAATCCTCTCTCCGTTCTGTCCAATCAAATGGGCTTCAGCCCCAACACAAACCAAAGTTCAACGGACTCGCTAGCCAATCCCACCGCAACGGAATGCGCAATCAAGACCGAGCCCAACCTTTCCAACTCCACCACCGACCTAAACCTGGACGCCACGAATGCGGACGGCGTTGAGCCGTGCACATCGGCGTCCCTGGATGTCGCCAACAACAATGCGTTGGCAATTCTGCCGATGATTTTGTTCCAACAAAGCCAAGCCGATGGGCAGCCGCTGCCAACGAATATTAATTGGAATGAGCCCAAAGAGCTGATGGATGTGATTTGCACGTTGTGCAGGTACATCTACAGTCAAGCGAGCTTGAATGAGACCGACGGGGATGAGGATAATCCGCCGGCTTGAAGTTTTAATTGTAATGAAGTTTAATTGTAAAGAAATGGAAATTTCCCATGTAATAATAATGCATTATATGCAGGGAATGTTGATGTATTAATAAAGATAAGATTATGTAATTCTGGTTGGAATTTTCTTGCGAAAAATTTATCAATTCCCAAAAATTTTGTCTTGCGCTTTGCAGAGGCAGCCGAGCTATTCGACAGTCTTTGCGGAGAGTATTCGAAATGCGGAGCGTTCAGAAAAAGAATCATTTTTTGGCACTATCTTCGCCAGTTTGGCTTGGGAAAAGCTGATTTTTTTTTGTAGATACATTGCCTTCCACGGTAGAAAGTGACATGAAAATTTTTGATGCTAAAGTTCTTTTAAAAACACTTTTACCAACTCTCGACCTAAAAATGGTAGCTCCTGCAAAGCGCCCCACATAGGCCTGTCAAAAAATAAATCAAAACTTTTGCCAAGTCAAATCTTAGCACCGCACTTTGAGTACCCATCGTGTAAGTACGGAGTTGTTTGTCTGAAAAATGGGAACCAGAATTTGTCCCAAATTGCATTAAAATTTTCGCGTCGTACTCAAAGAAATCCTTGGGGACACATTTCGCTGACTTTTCATCGGAGATGCATCAATATGTGCAAAGCATCTCTCTTCGGTACTAGGCGGTTTCCAAAGTCGCTGAAGTGATTTTTGCGACATGCACTGTGCGAAAACAAAAGTTGTCTTTGCACTGTGCAGTTTCCGGCGTTTTGGCTCTTTTGGGCTATTGCTCGCACCTCGACTTTTCTGCATCGTGCAACCGCCAAGAATCACTCCAGCGACTTTTTTGCTTCTTATTTATTGTGACCTCAATCTCACTCCTCCAGCAATCTGCTGGAAGCCTCTAATTGACCTTAATTTTCGCGCTCAAATCTGGTCTTTATTATAATAGAAAATTATCTGGATAAGATTGGCGAATCCAACAATTCAAAAATGCCATTTACAATTAAAAAAAATTCGAAACAGGGTAACTCGAATCTTGATAAAGCTGCGCGCATCTGCGATGCCGTTCTTAGATAAGGTCGGGCGCCTGTCCCGACCTGGTCACGTCCTCCTCCACCAGCGGCACTCGCGCCACACCGCAGCCGGCACGCGCGTCGTGAAGACAGGGCCCCGGCGTCCACTCGTCTTTGATTGGGTCGTAGATTTCGGTCGTCTTCAGATACTGTCCGTTGAAGCCGCCCACGGCGTAGAGGCGGCCCCCAATTGCGTCGACCGCAACTCCGCCGCGCGCCGTTCGCAGCGGCGCGATTTTGTGCCAGGTCTTGGAGATGGTGTCGAAATACTCGCAGTCACTGGAAATGGAGGGGGTTATAAGGGAACTACTCTACGTACAATTAGCACAATTTGCCTCACAGCAGAAGCCCCCCAAGTGCGAGCCTTAAATTTTAATGAAACTGGGCAAAAATTTCGATTTTTTTCTAAGCGACACTCCTAGCTCACGCTTTGCAGAAACGACTAACATAAGATCTTTTAGGTAATTTAAACCTCAATTTTTTGATTCACAGCAAAAAAATTTTATTTTTTTTTTGAAGGAGCCGGGCCCTAAAGTTCACAAAGTCCAAAGCTTGGCCTGGAAAAAAACTCAAGCCTCACGGCCTGGCCCCAAAAAGGTCAGGCCCTGCCCGGACCTTCTTTCGAAATTTTCAAAGCCCGAGCTAGCCCCAAAAAATTGGGGCCTAAAAAATGCCATGTCTGACAATGAGCCATGTAAGTGACATAGTGGGGGGCCTGATCCTATGGCAAAAAACGTACCATTTTGCATCCAGGAAGTGTCAAAAACGCGGCAAAATGGTCCCTCTTCAAGTGAAAAGAATTCGTTTTGAAAGGCGCTTTTCCTCACACAAAGAGCTGGGGCGCTTATGAAATCGGAGTTTTTTCACTTGGAGAGGGAAGCATTTTGCCACATTTTTGACACTTCCCGGATGCAAAATGGTATTTTTTGCCACCGGATCAGGCCCTCGCTGTAAAAAAAATCTGAATTTGCCCCAAGTTTCATCATTATCTGAGCGTCGCACTTGGAGTACTTGCCCTGATTGATAAAAATAGGTATTCGTAATAAAAGTTCTTACGTTAAAGTCCCATTTCCGAACCCTCCAACCACATACAACCGATTGCCAATTGCAGCGGCGCCCGCCGAGAACCTTGCCACATTCATTGGCGGCGCCTCTTCCCACACATTCCTCTCCGGATCATAGCATTCCACCGTGTTCACATTCGAAGTCTCCTCCTGAATGCACCCGCCGAGCGCGTACACTCGGCCCCCGATCGCCATGGCGTTGATGTTGCGGCGCGCCGTCTTCAGCGGCGCTATCATCTCCCACTCGCCGGACCTGGTGTCGAAGCGTTGGACGTGCGAAAAACTCGTCGAGCGGGACTCGTCGGTTCCGCCGATCGCGTACACATAGCGATCGTCGAGTTGCGTGACGCCGGAGCCGCGACAGGGCGCCGGTAACGGCGGCAAAAGTATGTATTCGCCGGTTTTCACGTCCAACACGCCGCTACAGGAGTCGCCGTAGCGTCCGGCGTGTCCGCCGATCATGTAGACCTTGCAGCCGATTACGGTCACGCCGACCTGAAATTAGGGTTGAAAAGTGGGCAAAATTACAGAAATGTAATAGAATAGACGGATAGAGTTGATACTAATAAGTTGTAAGGCAATTTCAAAAAGCAAATATTCCATATATGGCTATAGACTGATTACCCTTTGTCCAGAAAATGTGTCAGGATGGCATACTTTTATAGCGTAGCGGCGGTATAAAAAACAGTCGAATATGGCTACAAGTGCTCCATACAGTACTCACAAAAAAATTTAGGTCCAAACCGTTTCCAATTTGCAATTTTGGATGACGGATTTTATGGACTTTCTGAATTTTTCCTGCGGCTAGAACCTTTGCATTGCTCAAAAATTTTTTATCTTGCTCTAGCGAGCACTCCTTGCCACATACGATCCTTTTTTATATTACTGCTACATTTTAAAAATGTGTCATTGTGACACATTTTTTGGACACACAAGGCTTTATAAGTAAGCTCATATTTCATGCCGATTTACCTGTCGTCCAGCCACCGGCAAACTCTGCAAGAACTTCCATTTGTTGGTCCTTCCGCCAAGAATCTCCACGAATTCGCAAGGATTGGGCTTGTCTTTGCGACCGCCGAGACAGACCAAAACGCCGCTGGGATAAATTCTCTCCAGCTCCACTGGCGCTTGAGACGAAGGACATGGGAGGTTTTGGGAAATGTAGTTGGACACAAGGCATCGGAGATGGAGGTCTTGCTGAAAATATTATATTAGGTTGTCCAACAAATAATGACCCTCTTCGAAAAATTTATTTTTTCGGCAAAATTTACCGTAATAACTGCGATGTATTTAATCAAAATAATTATCATGTGCTTTATCACGCTTGTTACAACGTGGCAAAAAGTTTTTTATGTCTGTAGCTTAGGAACCCCGGCTTCTGGAGCCGATGAAACTTTTGAAGGCCTTTTCAAGGGTGTCTTGATTGTCGAATTCTCTACCACTGATGAAACGTGCTAGATTCTTGAACTGATGGTAATGTGTATAGACCAGCTTTGACAAATAGGCTGGACAAGGGACAGTCTCCTATCTCTATTAAATCCGCTTCTGGAGGGTCATCATTCAAAGGGGAGGTTCCGTGTAGCCGCTAACAAGGGAAGTCACTTTTTTCGCAGATCGATCCATACTGGTGACCTAGTGGACTGTGAAGGCATCAGGCTGTGTAAGAAGAATCTGGCGTCCAAAAGTGTTTACGGGCCCTGAGGGCAGAGTTATGGCTCATCAAAGTTCGCGCAAAAAAGGTTCCGAAAAGACCCTCCAAAAAAACGGGATGGGAGAAGTGAGCTTCGGTAGCAGAGTGGTTCGCAAGTTTTTCTTTTGTCTGGAAGGGCCAGAGTTCAATTCCTCTTCCCGGCAATAACTAAAAATAATATTGTAAGAGTAGCGTAAGTTACAAAAAAAAATTGTTTTAAAATAATTTTTGAAAAATATTATTATCCTGTTAAAAAATTTAAAATTTGGGGAATCGTTGTGAGCTTGGACACAGTGAGGGATGCAAAGGCATTTTTCCACCGAGTATCGCATCCAATTTCCGGAATAATGCGGCGATTACGGTGGATCAAGACGCCGTATCATTGGAGAAAACTGCGGGAACATTGGCGTAAAGGTAGGACTGGGATTCTCAATATGTACATCTCTGATGTTTTCAAAGACGCCCTTGGTGATCGTGATATCATGCTGAAGCGTTTGGGTCAAACGCTTGCTGTCTGGGCAGATGATAAATTTAGTGACGATATGAACAAAATCGTCATTTTTTAACGACAGGATAATAATATTTTTCAAAAAATATTTTAAAATATTTTTTTATGTAACTTACGCTACTCTTACAATATTATTTTTATTTATTGCCGGGAAGAGGAATCGAACCCTGGCCCTTCCAGACAAAAGAAAAACTTGCGAACCACTCTGCTACCGAAGCTCACTTATCCAACACCGTTTTTTTGGAGGGTCTTTTCGGAACCTTTTTTGCGTGAACTTTGATGAGCCATAACTCTGCCCTCAGGGCCCGTAAACACTTTTGGACGCCAGATACTTCTTACACAGCCTGACGCCTTCACTGCCCACTAGGTCGCCAGTATGGATCGATCTGCGAAAAAAGTGACTTCCCTTGTAAGAATTTTTGGACTTCTGCGGCGCATCGTTGAAGACAGACGCTGCCAAAAAACTGTCTATCTGGATACAGTAGGGTATGGTATCTACATTTTGGCCAGCTTTCAAGAAGCTGTATTGTACTATTCCCATGCTGCACCATCAAGAAGTAGTCATCACCTTGTTTTGGGGGGAGTCGGGCTTTGACAAGTCCCGCAGTGATACCCTAGGAGGCCTCCGTTCAGCATATCTGGTCTGGTTGTCCCAGTAGGTCCTCTTTCCATCAGAGGCAACGATTCGATCCAGAAAACGGCACGCAAACGCGAGAAATGTAATGCTTCCACTCTTTGCTTTGATCCAATAAAATGGGAAAAATTTGCCGAGCATTTTTTGAATTCCATCGACATCGAATGGTTAGCCGCCGATTATTTCAACAGCCAGACGACGTCAGAGACGCGTTGAATGTTGATTCTAGGATGTTCGCCAACCGACGACCTCAGGGTAAATTGATAAAGTTCGGATTCCGTACTTTATCTTTGGGTCCCTTGCCGTCAAATCGTAATTTTTAAATCCATCGTTTCACCGTGTTCAGACTCAGAACACACTAGTCGAACACAGCGTTGATACTTTGCGTAGCTTCTGAAACTTTCGCGTCCTGTTTTTGCCCGTAAAAGATGACAGCACGAACCGACTTTTTTTTGATAATTTTCGATTAGGGCTAAATTACTGGAATTTGGTCCCAATATGACAAACGATACATCAAACGAAAGCCTGAAATCTCAGCTACAAAATGTTGTAATATTTCAAAATTCCATCATCGCTTGCCTTTTTTAGAGGCTTTAAACTTTTCCCCTCTCACAGAGGGTCATTATTTGTTGGACAACCTAATATCAGACTGTTGGGCGGATAGCTGATCGTGAGGAGGAACGAAATTTGCTTTTGTTTCGGAAACAATTCATTTTCTAGGCGGATGCGATTTCCGAGCGGCAGAGTGCTCATTATTTTCCCGACAGACTGATAAAAGTAAAGAAGTCAATGGTCCCAAGTGCGACGCTTGGATTTTACTCGAATTTTTCACGCATCTTGGGAGGTCGATAGAGGCCGATATATGAATTCTTTAAGGTTTTAGCTTGCGATTTGCAGGCACAGCCCGGATATTTAATGATATTTTCATCCGAGAGAGAGCACGCAAAAGGCGGAGACCGGTCAGAGAAAAAACAATTTTTGGCCATAGCTTTGCCAGTTTCTTGCGGAAAAAAATAATTTTTTGTGGAAACATTACCATATGCGGCAAAAATAACCACTAAACTTTTCACACCAAAATTTGCAAAAAAAAACACATTTTTATCCAACTTTCGACCCAAAAATCTCGGTCTTTCTGCAAATCGCAGCCTTAAAGTCTCACATATTTATTAGAAAAAATTACTCTAAAATCGAGTCAAGTTTCATCAAAATCTGAGCTTGGCACTTGTCGCACTTCGATTGCAAAAAACAACCGCAGAAAAAAGTCGATTTTTTCCAGAGAACTCACCACAACATCCAAAACCCTGCCCACGTCATTCAAATAAGTGATCCTAATGCAATTCAACAGCTCATCGGTGTGATCGATTCGCTCTTCAATGTCATACTGTAGCCAGTGGAGCGCGGCGATCAAGACTTGATCTTCGGAGCGGACCTTGAGATGGTCGTCTTTTAAGATCTTTCGCAGACCTTCAAAGTCCAAAAGACCAACTTCGGGGTTGTTGAAAACGAACTGAAAATTAAGTATAAAGGTGTCATATGCTTTCCCTCACCTCAAAGTTTTCCACAACGAATTTGTCGACGATTCGGGCCAATTCCTTCGACAGTCCCAACTCCTTCTCCAATCGCCAGACCTTGAAGCAGTTTCCATTGTCAATGTTCTCGATGAAGAACTGCACACATCGCGCTTGCAATTCGTCCACCTAAAGTGTAATTCCCGAGCGCTCTTCTCCTCTTACCATCAAGAAATTGGCGGCCAGCAGAATATCGACCGCATTTTTGTTGCTCAGTTCGGTGCGGCCCGTGTAGACAAAGTCCACAATCGCCGCTAGCGCTTCGGGTGTGACGTTCTGAAAGGAGAACGGCGAAAATGACTGTTGTAAACTAGAGTTTCAATAGTTGTAAACCGGAGTTTCAAGTGTAACTTCATTGGTTTACAGATGGGCTACTGTATCAGTTTGTCGAGAAAATAATCAGCGCTCTGTCGCTGCGCCGATCCAATTGCTGAAGTTTTTGTTCAAAATTTACACATTCGTTGGAAATATGACCTAGAAAAATTGCTGAAAGTTTCAGCTCACGCTTACAAGCGCAGTTAAGATATTCAACGATTTTTTCGGCCAAGAGATTGTACGGAATACGGAGGATGGTCAGAGAAACCCCCTTTTGGCCGTACCTTTGTCAGTTTCCCGCGGAAAAATTATTTTTTTTGTGTGTAAACACTATCCACTATAGTAAAAATAAGCACCAAACTTTTCACACCAAAATTTGCAAAAATAATTTTCCATTTTTTCCGAACCTTGGCTAAAAAATTTTGTTTCTTTCAGAAGTATCAAGGACATTGCGCTCATTATTTTCCCGACAGATTCATAGATGACTTACGGTCAGTTCAACTCGGTTGTGGCTTGATTCCAGCATCCCCGAGCGAAGCATATGCCGGAAATAGCTGACGCCTGCGGCCATTAGGACCTTGTGAACGTTGAATACTTGGTCTTCACACTGAAAAATTGAGATGTACAAAATAAAAACAAAACAAATTTTTTGAGCTGATGAGTGCACATGGCAAGCAGTTTTATCTCACAACTGGTTGCGTGGTCTATATACGAGTCTGTCGGGAAAATAATGTGGATTTCTCAGGGCAGCATCTTGCCTCGTCTCAGCCTCGGAGCAAATCTCCAGCTGCGGCTAGCCCTCAAAAAGCGATGACGGACGATTGCAAAATGTGAAAAACTCCACATTATTTTCCCGACAGATTGATAAACACACATAATATAAGATTATTTTTTCATCTCTTTTCTCTTACCACAATCTGCAAGTCGCAATACAGCCCCTCATTGCGCAATCTGGTTATGTTTACCGCGACCTGATGCCAGTAGTTCTCTTTACAACACATCTGAAAGCACTGATTTTTACACAAAGAAAAATTAACCGTTCTTTTGCAAAACCCCACGCAGTTCTTTGACTTTCAACTCAGAAACAGTAAAACATTTCACAATCAAGAATAAGCTCGAACACTCGTTCAGAAAACTGCTTGGAGCAAAGAGTTTTTAGAGTTTTCACAATGCGGTTGTGGCGTCTTTTGACGGAAATTCCAAGGAATTTTTAGCCTTGTATATTCAAAAAAGGATATTATGAACTGCAATGGCTCATTGGCCCTGGAAAAACCGCGTTAGAGCATTGAAAAAGAGTCATAAAAACGAGCAGTTGCACTCAGAAAATAGACCGTGTTTTTGTTGTCATAACCAAAACAATTGAGGAGAAACCGAGGAAGGAGCCGGCCTTATCAGCCGAATTCTCAAAACGCGTGGTCAAAGGGTCTAAAGTCCCTCGGGGTATGACTTTCAACACGGCCGTTTCTGGTGGGATTCAACGCAAACGTAGATCGGGTGATGTGATATTCATATATTGCAAAAAAATGGTGATGATGGGATGCTCGTTGATGTGGCTTTGAAAACCTTTTTTCAACGATTGTATGAGCTCTTCGAATAGAACCCAATAAAATCTCGCTGCGGCGGGATCATCAAAGAGAAGAGATTGGGTTTGCATTGTAACGAGCTATTATCAATGATGTTTCGGAGTCATACTACAATGCAGCATAAATGATACTAGTCCGCTCGCATATGTAGTGGTTTTTGCGACACTCACTGCGCAAGAAAAGTGTGGGTGCAAGCGACAGCTCAAGCAAGTCTATTACGCCGCACGGCAATCCAAAATACAGTGAGGGACCTGATCCAATGGCAAAAAATGTCTCATTTTGCATTTCGGAAAGGACCAAAATGACTCCAAACCCTTCCCTTCTCGAAGCTAGAAAAACTCCGCTTTGAAAAGCGCGCCCTTTCCTTCAAGGCTCTTTAAAGCTTAGAGAAGGGAAGGGTTGGAGACATTTTGGTCCCTTCCGGGATGCAAAATGAGATGTTTTTTGCCATTGGATCCGGTCCCTCACTGTAGAACCAAAATGTCTCCTGCCTACTTTTGAATTTCGTTCAAACGAAGTGTCAAAATTCACAGAAGAAATAAAATAATTCCGAGAAAAACATTTTTCGGACGGAAAACCACACGAAAAATTCATTTTTGACATTTCGTTTGAATTCTACCGCTACAAGGTGGGCGAAGCGCCGAAAGGAGGAGGGAGACTCCCTGGGTTGCCGTGCGTCGTGCAAACAGCAAAAAAATTGCAAGATGAACTTTTGTTTTCTCGCTCGCAAAAATCACTCCAGCGACTTTGCGAGCCGACCAGTACTTGCCCTTTAAATTGCTCACAGCGGTGTAAAAGTTGTTTTTTACACCACCGTAGACATCAACAGCCGTAAAGTAAATACCGGCCGTTCTCGGGGGCTCAGGAGACTGGTTAATTGGAAATCGAGCTACAGTAATCAGCCAGCTTTTGACGCTGTGGTGGCGCCTGGAATTGGACAGTGCAAACAGATATTTTTTTGAAATTTGCACTGTGCCAAAGGGGAAAATGCCCTGTGCGTTGGCGACAAGCACGGAAAAACATTCAAAATGCACCAAGCGAGGTTCAAAATGCAAGACGAAAAAATTGTCCATGCACTTTTTGAAAATATGAATAGCACTTTTCAATGTCCTTTTATCACTCTATAGGTTCTAATAAAGACAAAAACAATCCACTCCCCAAACACAACCTTGAAAATCTCCCCAAAATCAACCCCCCACACCCAATGTAACCTCGAATGACCCAGGCAAATAACCAACACTGATAAAAGTGAAATGATCAACGGGGGGTCTTGCTCTCCTCTTCTTCTTCACGGGTAACCCCGACGTTGAGAAATCGGGCTTTTTCTCAACCGGGACTTCCCATTTATATGCAGTGGGAATGCCCCCATCGCTTCTCGGTACACCCAATGGTGGGTGTAAAAAACAGAAAAGTTTACAGCGAAGATTGCAGCTGTTTGCTTCGGCCGTGAGAAAATAAAAATAACGGTCTGTCGGGAAAATAATGAGGACTCTGTCGCAGCGAAAATCGCAGTGAAAATCGCAGTGAAAATCGCAACGAAAATGGGTTGTGTAACGGTAAAATCAATTTTTTTGTCACTTCATCGACACAATTGGCACAGCGAAATTGTGCTCATTATTTTCCCGACAGACTGATAGCGGCTGGAGGAGAAGCAACCAGTCTTTTTTTTTGTTGTTTTTGATGCGGAACGCGGTTCCAGTTGTAATTTACAATATCTTGCGGTGAAAAGAGCAAAAACGGAACAAAGAAAATTTAGATTACAGTTTGTTTTGGAACCGGCGACATTTTTTGGCTGATGCTTTTTATTGAAACCAGCGAGATTTGGAAGGAGAAAGGGGAGAATAACAATTTTTCAGTGGTTTCGATGGGAAAATGGGCATTTTATAGGGCAATGGGCTTTGTGGTGGCGAAAATACATTTTGGCTTTTGCGAAAATGATCTGTTCGGTCAAGAGGACATGCAAAACGTAGAGAGAAATTTCGGGGAAAGCACTGACAATAGACCATATCATTACGGTAAAGACCCCGAAGCAGTTGCAAAACCGTATAATTTTGCATCCGGGAAGTATCAAAAATGTGGCAAAATACCTCCCATTATAATAAAGAATAACTTCGTTTTGAAATGCTCTCACGAATTCTCTCACAAAAAGAGCTGGCGCGCTTTTAAAATCAGAATTTTTTCACTTGGAGAGGGAACCATTTTGCCACATTTTTGATACATCCCGGATCCAAAATGGCACGTTTTTTGCCAATGGCGCACCACTGTAACAAAATATAGTTTCAAAAAAATCGCATGCCCCTTGATGACTAACCCTTCGATTGGAGGAATCCCCGCCGACTTCGAACATCTGGGTTTCCCTTATCACATGTCGGACCTCCCCGAAGTATTCCCCGCGTTTTGTGTTGATCTTTTCGATATTACTGGTTTCGAAAACAAAGAGTGATTTCTTTATCTCATAACGACTCGAAAATGGGGGAGATGAAATGGAAATATGACAGAAACGAAATTTCTGAGGAAATTTCATGTTTTGATAAAAATAAAATCATGAAAAAATATAATAATGATTTCATTTTTGTCTTCGAAAAAAAACAAACAAACAAAAACAATATTTCTAAAAGAATTTTTTTGGTTGTATCCGACGAAAAAAGGAATGGTAAGGGGGGACCAAGGCAGACTTTGAAATTTTTGTTTGAGGTATTGCAAAAAATTGTTTGTTAAAAACTCATCTTGATCTCTCCTTTTCTTTAAAATTAAAAAAAAATCCATTTTTGGTCTCCTCTTACCATAGCATTTTTTGAAAACAGAAAAATCATTGCCCAAAATTCGCCTAACAGGAGCAGTACCCCAAGTGCGACGCTCAGATTTTGATGAAACTTGGCACAAATTTAGAATAATTTTTTCTAAGATATATGCGAGAATCCTAGCTCGCGCTTTGCAGAAACAACCGAGATTTTTAGATCGAAAGTCGGCGAAAATTTAGGACTTTTTGCCGAATTTCGGCACGAAAAGTTTCATGCCCATTTCTACCGTAAAGGATAATGTTTCTACAAAAAATCAAATTTTTCCGCACGAAACTGCCAAAGTTATAGCCAAAAAGCGTTTTTCTCTCTGACCTCTCTCCACGTTTAGCGTGCTCTCTCGGCGGCATAAATCGTCCGATATCTCGGCGGCGCCTGCAAAGCGCGAGCTAAAACTTTCAGGAATTGATATTTAGTCTATTCCCGAAGTGTGTGCAAAATTTAAAGAAAATCTGAGCGTCGCACTTGGGGTACTTCCCTTGTAAATCCGCCTCTTTGGACCAAATCTTTTTTTTTGTTTTTTGAGTAAACAACAAAATTTATTTATTCACTGAAAATTCGTTGAATTCAATTTAAAATTCACAATTGAAATTTTTAACTTCAAAAATGAAAAAAAGTTATGATGAGATTTCCTTGGGAAGGACGGTGATTTTGACCAGGTATTTATGCTTCACCTGGTCCGGGTTGAACACGACGAACTCGTCGTATTGGAAGGCCGAAGTTGTCGACTCGTCTTTGCGAAGCTCCATTCCGACTTCGATTGGCACTGTGTCCGGGTATTCGCTGGAAAAATGAAAGTTATCGTATTCTTTTACGGAGGAGATGGCTCAAGGTGAAAAAATGAGTCTGTCGGGAAAATAATGAGCACTCTGTTGCATCGAAGAAAATGAATTGTGTCGCGACAAAACCAAATTGCTTTCCACTTCAGCGACGCGATTGTCGCAGCTACATTGTGCTCATTATTTTTCCGACAGACTGATATTCAATTTGGATGAAACCTGGCAGAAATTGAGACCCAGATTTTCAAATTGATGTGCTGTTTTATACTAGTCGCGGCGAAAAGTCCTTAGAATTTTTCGCGGCCCCCAAATCTCGTCGCACCCCGAAATGTTGATTTGTCGCGGGAATCGTGCGCGACAATAAGGCAAAATCAACAAAATTGCACAGTGCAAAATGTGTTTTCGGGTGAATGCACAGTGCGGAGTCGCAGAAAATTCTAAGGACTTTTTGCCGCGACTAGTACTGTCTTCCCTCTAAAAACCATCGCTTGCAATGGGACACCCTAGAAAACGCTGTCGAAAGTTCTATGCATGTCTACAATTTTAAAGAAAAAACTAGAAAGTCAACCTTAGAAAAAGCCCTATTTTCGCATAAAAAATTTCACAGGCCTTTAGAAGTCTGCTAATCCAAGACTTTAGTGTCTTTTATTTACTTTAACGCCGCCAAAATCCTCTGCTATCGAATCAAGAGAGCTCGTTAAGTGTGGGGGTATAGCTCAGTGGTAGAGCAATCGACTGCAGATCGATAGGTCCCTGGTTCAAATCCGGGTGCCCCCTAGCGTCCTTTTTGCACATTTTGGGATAAAAATAGACTTTATACAGTAGACCTAACATAGCAATTTTAAAAATTCCTATATCAAGTCTTTTTTTTTCACAAAAAAAAACGTCAAAATCTCATAAAAATTAGGTTTTTGAGTTCTTTTTCACTTACAACTTCTCTGTTGGCCTGTGAATTCCTTTTCCATATACACTGGTCGCGTCTTGCATGAATTTCGAGATCGACTTCTCTGGCTTCGTTACCTCTTTTTGTTTGCCCAACGCGACTTCGGCAAGGATCAGGTATTGCGTTCCTTCTGGCGCGCTGATTTCCCCTTGATCAGCTTGCTCTGGCGCATCCTTTGCCTTGGGATTGGTGAGATTGGCGGCTTTGGAAGCGCAGTTCGTGAAGTAAATTCCTTTGCCAAATGCGGCTTTTTCCTGACAAAAATAAAAACTGAGGTTGAATTTGAAAAAAAACAAGATATTGTTAGAGTGGGGGATCTTATCCATTAGCAAAAAATCTACCATTTTGCATTCGGGAAATATCAAAAATGTGGCAAAATGCTTCCCTCTCCAAGAGAAAAAACATTGTTTTGAAGGGCCCTTTTCCTTTTCCCTCACAAAAATAGCGGGCGCGCTTTTGAAATCGAAGTTTTTTCACTTGAAGAGGGAAGCATTTTGCCACATTTTTCATACTTCCCGGATGCAAAATGGTACGTTTTTTGTATGTAGTTTGATATGGTTTCTTACCGACTGAATCGCCTTTTTGTAGCCGTCCCTGAGCAGGTAATACACGTTTTCTTTTGGGGTTCCGTGGAAGAGGAGCTTGCTGAAAATTGTAAGGAAAAATAAGATTTTTATGGAGCGAAAGTTGTAAAAAATTTGTCATCGCGGCCCCGAAAACCGCTGAAATCTGAAAAAAATGATTTTTTGCACTGAAAAATGAGAATCGCTCGAAAAGAAAAAAAGAAAAAAATGCACTGTGCGAAGGTTTTTGGGTCAAAATGCACTGTGAAAAGCGATTTTTTCGCGATTTTGGGATAAAAATATACTTTATACAGCGGCGCGCCAAAACCGCATTGTGCAAATTTTGAGGACCTTTTGCCCAGAGTAGCAGAATGCCAAAAGTTTTATCAGTCTGTCGGGAAAATAACGGCGGATCGTCGCATCTCGGAATTGCCCATCATCGCTTTGCGACGGCTGCCGAAGCTGGAGATTTGGCGCGCGATAGCGGTGAGGCGAGACATTTTGATGCGACGATCCGCGTGATTTTCCCGACAGACTGATATTAGTCTGTCGGTAAAATAATGAGCACTCTGTCGCATCGAAAATCACATCGCCGCCGAGAAAATGAATTGTATCGCGACAAAATTAAATTGCGTTTCACTTCAGCGACACAATGCGACATTTCTCACTGCCTTGCCGAGAGACTGGTATCTTCTAAAAAAATTATTTTTTTCCGACTTACTGATTAGTAACGGGCCCTTTGAAAGCCCCCGGTCTTTCGATATCATAGACAGCTTCGACTTTGATCGAATATCCGGTATGAGTTGGCCCATGGGTTGTGTTTACATATTCCTCGACGAAAGGAACCTGATCATTGAACAAAAGCCCTCGGGCGACGTCGGATTTGCGGCCGTCGTTTGTTTTCAAAATGTCGTCGAGAACTTCGGCAATTCGAGGATCTGGAATTGGGTTTTTGGATGGTTCCTAAACTCGAGGTTGCTTACCGTTCATTGCAAATGGCCTTGAGAAATTGTGTTCGCTAAAAAATTAGAGTCAAATAGGAGGTCTATATTGGGCTGTCGCGAAAATCATGAGCACTCTGTAGCGTCAAAAATCGCATCGAAAATAAATCGTGTCGCGACAAAATTTCGAATTGATTTTTCACTTCAGCGATGCGATGGGCGCAGCGACTTTGTGTTTACTATTTTGCCGACAGAATTATACGTAATCAAAGAATCTCAATTTTATCAGTCTGTCGGGAAAATAACGGCGGATCGCTGATAAGTGAACAAAATGAGAATTTTTTTTTCATGCACTGTGCGAAAACAAAAGTTCACTTTCGCACGGTGCAGTTGTTTTTGTTTTTTTTTTTGATCGCCGCTCACTTTATGACGTTTTTTCGCACAGTGCAAACGTCAAGAATCAAATTTTGCGACATGCACTGTGCAAGAACTAAAGTTCACTTTTGCACTGTGCAATTTTTTGTATTTTGCACGGTGCAATAGACCTTTTTGGGATGTCGCTCGGACCTTGACGTTTTTCGCACAGTGCAAACGCCAAGAACCATTTTTGCGACATGCACTGTGCAGAATCTAAGGTTCATTTTGCACTGCGCAATTTTCGGTTTTTCGCACGGTGCATTACGCTTTTTTGGGGCCGCACGCACCCTGACGTTTTTCGCACGGTGCAAACGCAAAAATCATTTCTGTGGCATGCACTGTGCGAAAACTAAAGTTCACTTTTGCACTGTGCAATAGGTTTTTTCCGGCTGACGTTTTTTGCACGGTGCAAACGCAAAAAATAATTTCTGCGACATGCACTGTGCAAAAACATGAGTTCATTTTGCACTGTGCAAGTTTCGGTTTTTTGCACTGTGCAAAAGGCTTTTCGCTCGCACCCTGGGTTTTCGCACGGTGCAAACGCAAAAGGTAAGTTCTGCGACATGCAATGTGCGGAAACTAAAGTTCACTTTTGCACTGTGCAATTTTCGGTTTTTCGCACAGTGCAATAGGTTTTTTTCGGCTGTCGCTCGCACCCTGACGTTTTCGCACAGTGCAAACGCAAAAAAAAACTCCAGCGGCTTTGCGAACGGGATTTCAAAGTTGCGCACGATTTTAAAACAAAATTTAAAAAAAAAATCTCAATTTTCCAGTCTTGAGATCTCAAAACTTCCAAGTTCAAAAGCACTAAAATCCCTATGATCTCCATATTTTATAGCCTTCAGAATGCCCATAATAACGATATGTGACACTTTTTTCACGTCTTAGCACGTTTTTCATATTTTTTAAAGGTTAAGAAAGGGGCGAAAAAACGGAAATCCATTGGAATTTGATTGATCCCCACGGACTGCAAAAACGTGAATGCCCGGAAAAAATGCGACAGTTGCCAATGGGGATGACCTCAAAAAGAAAAATTTTTTTTTGATAAGTATGTGAGACTGAGAAAAACGAAAAGAATAATAAGTAAAAAAAATGAATTGCAAAAAGGTTTTTTTTTGAAAAAAAATTTGTTTTGAACGAGTTCAAGTCAGTTGTCCTCTACAAGACCAGGCTGAAATGCTCTTCGAAGCGTCCCGGAAGTGGAAAAAAGTCTCTGTTGAACTATGAAATTTAGAAAACAGCAAAATTTTTCAATTTTCGCCAAGATTTAGGCCGGTAATTGAAATAAATAAGATTGAATTGCCCTGAAAAACAAGAAATCTATTTTCGCCCAAAGTAATTATTCCAGCCATCTGAAAACTATATAAACCCTTTTTTCACAATGTCCCACATGTTCGAAAATCGAAAAAAATCAAAAAATGAATTGCTTTTCAAAGATTAAAACGAATTTTTTTAATTAATGAGCGGCCAAAAAATCTTGTTTTTTGCACAGTGCAGTCAAAAAAGTCGTGACATTTTTTCGCACAGTGCGGATAAAAAAGTTTTGGTTTTCGCACAGTGCGGTCAAAAAAGCCTCGATATTTTTTCGCACAGTGCAGATAAAAAAGTTTTGGTTTTTGCACAGTGCGGACCAAAAAAACGTCTTGACAGTTTTTCGCACAGTGCAGTCAAAAAAATCTTGATATTTTTTCGCACGGTGCGGATAAAAAAGTTTTGGTTTTTGCACAGTGCAGACCAAAAAAAGTCTTGACATTTTTTTGCACAGTGCGCGACAAGTTTTTTGTGCGACGGCGCACCGTGCACAACAAACAGAGAGCCTGCCCCTTCTGTTTGTCGGGAAAATAATGACCACTCTTTCGCAACGAAAATCGCATGCCAAGAAAATAAAGGTAATTGTGTCGCGACAAAATCAAATTGCTTTCCGCTTCAGCGACACGATTGATGCAGCGACAGTGCGTTCATTATTTTCCCGACAGACGGATAATTGGTTAAAAACATCGAAAAACGAATTTTTAGCCCAAAGTAATTATTCCCTCAGCCATCTGAAAATTATATAAACCCTCTTTTCAGAATGTCCCAGATGTCTGAAAATTGAAAAAAATCAAAAAACTGAACCATTTTTCAGAGCTTTAACGAGTGTTTTTGCTGAACGGCCAAAAAAATTGCTGACATTTTTGGGCACAGTGCGGAAAACAAAATGTTTGAAAATCGAAAAAAAATCAAAAATCAAAAAAAATGGATCGCTTTTCAAAGATTAACCAAGCCTTTCCAAGGTTTTTCCCCTGCACGCTCTCAATTTGAACCCCCGACCTCAAGAAGCGGCAAAAAACCGCTTCGACGACAGCCGTTCACCTTTTCCGGCCCGCCGATGTTTGGCCCGCGGGCATGATTTGATTGATTATTGGGATGGAGCGGAAAAATCGCCCCAAAAAATTCCAAGCTCTTGAAAAGTTTTTGGGCCGATCGGCCGTTTTCAAGGGGCTTCGAGGTCTTCGAAAAATATGAAGACGATATCCGATCCGCACCGGCTTTATGGCTCACGGTGGGCGTGTGTAGGTGTTGCGAGCAGATGGGTTTGACAAACAGAACGGGAGAAAACATGACAAATTATGAACGCGGAGACGGAGGGGGATGTTAATTCGGATTTATGGATAATGTCTGGATTGGAATTGAAGGCTTTCATAAGCTCAAAGATGCTCTAAAAACCAGCATGGCTTTGAGAAGATGATAAAAAATCAAATGTTATAGTAGAAGATGGAAAAAATCAAATGTTCTCAAAGCACGGAGAAGAATCAATTATCAGTCTGTCGGGAAAATAATGAGCGCTCTGTCGCATCAAAAACTGCATCGTCACCGAGAAAAAATTGAATTCTGTCGCGGCAACAGCAAACAGAGGCCCGGCAGAGCCATTGAATGCTCGGCGGATTCTCAGCGGAGACTAAAGATCAATCACTTTTTTCTGAGACTTGCAAATTGTGATAAGGGAATATTTCATAGGATAATGTTCTATCAGTCTGTCGGGAAAATAATGAGCGCTCTGTCGCATCGAAAATCGCATTGTCGCCGGAAAAATAAATTGCGTCGCGGCGGAATCAAATCGCCTTTCACTTCAGCGACACGATCCGCCCAGCGACAATGTGCTCATTATTTTTCCGACAGCCTGATCAATGTTGATGATGCTTGGAAGAAATCGAGACCGAATTTCATTTCACCAATCCTTATGTAGGCCATGAGGATTCGTAAACTATCAGTCTGTCGGGAAAATAATGTGGATTTGTCCGGACAGTGTCTCGCCTCGTCTCATCCCCGGAGCAAATCCCCGTTGCGGCTAGCTGTTTCAAAGCGGTGATGAGCGATTCCAAGGCCCGACAACTCCACATTACAGGGTGATTCAAAAAAAATGGACACTTTTCTTTCTTCGATTTCTCTTGGCTTTGAATGTTTCTCGGAAAAAGATACACATGGCATGAAACTACTACGTTATGTGTACATATTCATTGCAAAAATTGTTCGCTGGCTGCAAAAGTTGCCGACATATGGTTGCTTAAAACTTGCCGGGACAGCGCACCCATTCCCGCGGCGAAATTTGGAAACTTTTCGTTCCTAAATGTCTTAAGGGTTTAACAGAGACGTTCTGAGCGGCCTCAGCGAAACACAGACACCTATTCTCTAGGACATTCTGAGGATTTAATCCAGGTCTTTCAGACAATGAAAAATCAGAGGCCAAAAGTTAGACAACCAGCGAGAGAAAATCAACGCTCATTTGGGCGCTTTTTGAAAAACTTAGCTCTGCCGAACGTGGGAAAAGTTTTTGGACCAATTCCATTTGTACCACGTTTACTGCTCTATTGTGAGTATATTAAACGCATTTTAAACAATAGTAACCTTCAGTTGGCAAAACTGCAAGCAAAATTTCGACTTTTTTGACTTTTTGATGGGTCATCGCAATGATACTTGGATTCTGATGGCTAGGTTTGTTCAAATTAACAGAGACCAATTTAAAATTGAAGAACGGACTTATATCACTATCGTATAAATGCAACTTGTCATAGTTGTGCGGCTTGTTGAAGAAAGCCAATAAAAAAGTAAAATTTTTCTGGTCAAAAAATATCGGCGTCTCTGGGTATAGCCGGCTAAACTTTTATAAGCCCAGTGCATGGCTAATGCTAGCTACAGTCAAATCAACTGCTGAACCATGTAAAGCAATGTTAAATGTCTTACACAAATCACTTTTTGCCGTTAATAGCACAAGCCAGGCCGCCCTGCTAAGTTTTGAAACCCGATCATCCCAAAAATCCAGAACTATCTGGATGGGTCTCTTGTGGATCACGTTGCGAACTGCAGGAGCGTTATTAATACAATATTGTCAGCGTTTTCGCTTCTCGAGATTCCCCTTAGTATCTTAATAAACAGCCAACACGCAGTTTTTAGCTGGCTGTAAGAATTCAGCCCGTTAAAGACTTTTGGACCCGCAAAATTTTTGGAAAATTTGGTCAGAATATGGGCTGACCTAGTATTTTGGCTCGTACAAGCCGTTCAGCAAAAATATTTTAAAAATTGAAATAGGTGTCATGAAGCAGGATCGTTGACGATTTCAAGACTATTTTTCTTTCCACCGACTACGGTATTCGTGGTGGGATACACCAACTTCAAAAGTTGTCCATTTTTTTTGAATCACCCTGTATTTTCCCGACAGACTCTCCAAAGCTAGATTGTATGCATTTTAATAATATCATGGTATTTATTATACATATTTCCAACATATCGAAGCATTACAATTTAATCCTCAAAAAGGGTTTTCTGCATATTTTTCAAAGCATATTCACCGATGCCTCGTCAAATGTTTTGACACCTCACTTTTCATATATTATATTTTACAATCGAAATTCTCAATCAATCCACAAAAAAATTGAAATTTCCCTTGAACTGCATGATTCACAGCGCTGATGAAACAAAATCCCATGTGATTGTGGCTTGAGTCAGCGTTGGCAATCTTCTTTTCCTTTTTATGGGCCGCTTGCCCGAGCGACAAATTATTAGCATGCTCGGGTTTTGGCCCCTAATTTTCTTATTTTTCTTGGATTCTGTTGATGGTGATGTAGTCGAGAGCAATGCTGGAAACCTCTCTCCGTTCTGTAAATACGCCGAAGCCGTTGTTGGAGCTGTGGCGCCAAGGCCGTTGCCGGAAGAGACCGCGCTCGGATTGATAGTGGGAAATTTTGACGAAGAGGAGACTGTAAGTTGCGGAATCATCTTGACTGCAAAGGGCGTGATTTTTGTCTTCATACAAAGTTTTATTTCCAACTGAAGAATTGCCAGTTTGTCGGGAAAATAACGCGTATGGGTCGCGGCAAAATGTCCCGCTTTTCACTGTACCTTCAGTCGAGGTTAGCCGTCGCAAAACGATGATGAGCGATTTCAAGGCACGGCGAATCCATAATATTTTCCCGACAGGCCAATATTAGACATAATACCCGCGACTTACTGTTGTAAAATTTCGATAATTACACTCTTTCTTCTGCACGCGCCGCTGCGAATATCGACTAGGCCCGGCCCAAGAGCTCGATTAACAATGCGAACAGCTTAAAACAGAGTTTTTTACAAACTGAAGCTTCCCTCCAAGAGGCCCGGACATTGTTGCAACGACCATCACTAAATTTCTTGAAACTTGGCCAGTGAAGGGGATAGACATGCTGACAAAAAGCGATATCGGGTTTTGCAAAATTTCATCCATTCCGGGATTACTGTAGCATTTTGTATTTTATAAAGAGCGGTTGTCGTGGGCCGGGTGATGGCTCTATGAGTCCAAAACTTTTTGTGTGGCTGTTTTCGACCATGGCCAACATTTTCCTAACTGAAACATTTTTTGTATCTCTTCATTTTTTGGTAGTGTAACCCTCAAGATACCATATCGGTTACTGTTAAAAATAGGAAAGAGTTTGACCAGTTTTTCAGCGTGATTATAAAGGTTGGACACACTCTCTCAAAAATAAGACAAAAAATCCAGGAGAAAGTTTCCATTTTTTTGCCGCACCCTGTAGAGTCCCGAGAGTTATTGCAGGCCCCGCTGGGCTCTGAAATCCGGGCATGGCCCGGCTTTTAACCCTGCCTACCCTGACTTATCGTTCAATTTTCAGTGGAAGCCTTATCTCACCCCATGGGCGACCGCCGTAACCATCATCGTCATTCTCCCCCTCCTCTTTGTCCTCAGTTATTTGGTCTATCGTTGCGTCGCTTGCTGTCTTTCCTCGGACTCGAAACCAAAGCGAAAGATCGGACTGAAGAATGCCCTCAACGCTCTGCTACTAATCCTCACTGTGCTTGTCATTGCCTTTGCTGCAATTGCAGCTTATGGAATTATCACAGCGACAGACTCAGCGAACAGAATGGGCAATGCCGTCGAAAGTTTTGCGGACGAGACCCGCCATTATGTCCAGGAAAATTGCGCGGTAAGGTTTTTTTGTGCAAATTTGTTTACGCCTTCGAAAACATTACTTTTAGGCCCTCGAAAATATGGTAGGTGTCGAGACAAATATCACATCACTCTTGGAGAAAATCTCCAAGAGTTTTCACGAAGCTGTGGCGGATATGAAACACACACTTGACGTGAGACATGCTCCTCTAGTTGAAAAGTTCCAGATGAGTAAGTTCTGTGGACGCGGACGTGAAATTGTACAGTAAAATATTGACTCTGTCGGGAAAATATTGCGGATTCTTCGCGGCTATTATAGAAATCCCCCATTATCGCTGTGCGACGGCTGGTCGCTTTATTGGTGCGCGACTGCGACACGCCGAGACTTTTGCCGCGACATATCCACATTATTTTCCCGACAGACTGACGTCAAGAGCAAACTCATTTCAGTCGTTTCAAAAATTGAAGCCAAACAAGACGACCTTGCCACCTTGGTAAAATTTTTCGACTATTATCGAAACGACATGCCTGCACTTATCGTATGTTACTTTCTAGTGATTTTCGAGGGTGTATATGTTTTCCAGAACGCCACCGATCCTCTGCTGCCATATATCCGGAAAATGAGCGAGATTCGACAGATAACGCCGCGGGATACATTCAACCAAAAAGTGGACCAAATGTTGGAAAATATTGTTGCCTTGGTCGACAGGCGATTGAACGGTATGTTCAAATGTGGCCTCAACAAGGCTCATTTATGGTCGTTTTTGTTCAGAAATAGCCCCTAAAGTCCAGCAAAATCTCACTGGGAGACTGAACGGTTATCTAGCTGGTGTTTGCTCCTCGGTTGACCAACTAACACAGCCTCTCAAGGAACTTAAAAATGAGTATGAAGAGCGAGTCGAGCCGCACATTGTCTACCCGTAAGCTTAACCTGAATTTTGTCAACACATCTTCAGCTACTACGTCGTATTGGCAACTGCCGCTGTTTTGTTGGCTGTCGCCCTTGTCAGCTTCAGTGGGATCGGATACAGTTTTATTGTGACTAATCGGAAGGCAGATTCTGAAGGAAGCAAGTCCGCTGGACCGAAATGGCTTTATAATTTGTAAGTTTGACACGTTTGTTGTGCCAAGTTGGTCTTGCATGTTTATGCACCTTATGAAAATACAATCAGTGTATTCTGATGTAGCAAAATTCATATCAGATTGCAAAAGCCCTAAAAATACTAAATTACGGCTGCTAATTCAACATCACCTATACTTCCGACATGATTGAGTGCGTTTACAAAAAAATTTTCCATTCATTTCTTCAGTTATGTTTTTGCTAGCAAGCGCAATTTATTGTACCCGGCCCGTCTCGAATTTTGTTTGGCCCGGCCTGGAAGCCATGTCTAGGCATGGCCCACGTCAATCCAAAATAGAAGAAAAATTTTCCCGCCCCTTTTTGGCGATTCGTTCAAAACGAAATGTCACTATCCGATAAAAAGCATTTTCTTATCTTTATTCTTCCTTTTCGAGAAAAAGCAATTATTTCGGGCGAAAAAAGGTGCCGATAATTTCGTGACATTTCGCCTCTCTTTTAAATCAATGAAAACGATACGAAGCTTCGAAACGGGCCAGGAAATGCGCTGGATTGACGTGTGGCCCGGTTCGACACGCTAGTGAGTCTCAATAGGACGACTATCGACAGGACCTAGCAAAGGGTCTCAACAAACACGACGCACGTCAAACTGAGATAAGATAAAACAGTCCGGTGAATGGATTGGCAATTTGCCAAAAAAAGACGCGAAAAAACGTTTTGTCGTGGAAGAAATGGGGAATTTTTGGGGCGAGAGAGTACGCTTTTGCGTGTCTTTTTTCTCTCTTTCTCTGCGAAATTAAAACGAAGTGTAAAAAACCGATAGCGGAGGATCTATTCCGGTCACCGGACTCCTCAATTTGACGTTCGACGCCCATTTAGAAAGGGTGGGTTTCTAACCCAGTCAAAAACAGAGCTGTGTGAACTCTGTGCATACCTCCATTGCAACGTATCCAAAGCCTTGTTTTCAGCTCGATCGGCGCTGTTCTGCTGCTCTTAATCACTGTTCCCCTTCTTACTGCAACTTTATTCGCCCCACTCGGGGTTGCGACGGATTTGGTGTGCGATCCATGGAAGAACCCGGAAAAGCGCTCGGACGTTCTCGCCGTTCTGGATGTTCTGGCGGCAAGGGCGTTAGAGGACGAATTGGTAAAAAGGATTCTAGCCAGAAATGAACATCCAATATCCAAAATTGTCAACGAGTGTGGAAATGGGACAAGTCTGTTGGAAATCCTGAAGCTCGGCCAAGTGTCTGAACTTTTTGGAGCGGGCCAGGGGATTCCATCGGCAGTCCCTCTTGAATTCTATTTGATTGAACTGCGAGACACAATGTTGGATCGAAACAACTGGCCGCAAAACGGTTTCTATAATTTGTCGTATTTCGATCTATTGAAGGACATGAGAGGACTGGCAGCGAGTCCGAGCCCGAAAAGACAGGTAAGACACGTTTGGTTATCAGTCTGTCGGGAAAATAGTGAGCACCTGTCGCATCGGAAACCTCATTGCCGCCGAGAAAATGAATTGTTGCGACAAAATCAAATTGGTTTTTGTTTCAGCAATCGGCCCAGCGATCGTCGCGCCATAAAGTCCCTAGAATCCGTAGAATTTTTTTCGCCGAAATTGCGGGATGCGCTCACAGAAAAGTGTGTGAGCGAAACTGAGGAGTCCGGTGACCGGAATAGACTCTTCGCTATCGGTTTTTTACACTTCGTCTTGATTTCGCAGAGAAAGAGAGAAAAAAGACACGCAAAAGCGTACTCTCTCGCCCCAAAAATTCCCCATTTCTTCGCCGACAAAACGTTTTTTCGCGTCTTTTTTGGCAAATTGCCAATCCATTCGCCGGACTGTTTTAGCTTGTCTCAGTTTGACGTGCGACGTCGCTAGGATGGCGTCTGAACTCTAGTCGTTGCATAAAGTGCATCGACTTTTTGACGTAAACTTTCGGCACTGTGCATTTGACCTGTTGCACCGTGCAGTTCAAAAGAGAGCGTTGTCGCGCATTTTTGTCGCGCGATATTAATTTCACAGTCCAAAAAGAAGAAAAATGCACTGCGCCGCGAAAAAAAAGTCTACGTACTTTATGAAATGGATATATTTCCACTTTTCACATCTTATATATACACTCCGTTACGAAAGTATACCTACCCCATTGAGAATTGCAATATCTAAAGTTTGGTAAGAGATATCGAAAAACTGCTAATGCCATTCGAAAGAGCATGTCTTAAAACCTATTACCACAAGGAATCAGCCCGTGGAAAAAATTTTGATCGGTTTGGCAACCATTTTAATATTTTTTGCCGTTTCAAAAGTATACCTACCCCTGACGGTTTTTTGGCCAATCTGGCTCGGATTTTGAATTAACTTGCCCCGATTTCTTTCCATCGTGTACCCTATGGTCTTTGGAAGTGTATTACATTCATTTCAATTGCACTTTACCCACGTAGTGCTTTTGCGAGCCATCTCTGACCTTGTACATGAGGTTAATCTTAATTTCAAAAAATTTCTTGACTAGGCTGCTTTCTTGGCAGAAAAACTACATTACCTGTTAAATTTTGCACATATAGCTCACTATGAGAAAATAAAACAGCTTACTGAAAGTTTTCAAGTATTTTCTCATCATATCATCTACAACAAGCAGCTACCGTAACACTTTAGGCTCTAAAATACCAAGACGAATGGACGCAAATCATAAAATTTGATACACGAATTCAGACTCAGCATGTCAGAAAACATATCTCTTTAATTAGACTCCCATACAGAGCAGGCCCCAGTCCTGTAGAGTTCGTTCTTCAAAAACCTTCGAAAAACAGGCAAAAATACACTAGGTTTTGCAAATGCATTTTTGAACCGAGTGTCTGCAACAGATATCACACTTCTGAAACTAGTGGAGTATAAATATAGGTTTACAGATATGCTGAGTTTGATTTTCCGGACAAAATTTTGCAATCGATACTAATTTTTTGTGTTTCTAGGGTCTGTGAAGGTTACTGTAGAAAGTATACGGTAATTTATCTCTTATGTAGATGGCTGTACATGATATTGTATTGATTTGTTTTACGTATTACCTTCGATAAGAGTTGTCTAGGTCATTTTTTTAGCGAAACAAAGACATTCATGTAGGGTTTTTTTGAAATTAAGACTAACCTCATGTACAAGGTCAGAGATAGCTCGCAAAAGCACTGCGTGGGTAAAGTGCAATTGAAATGAATGTAATACACTTCCAAATACCATAGGGTACACGATGGAAAGAAATCGGGGCAAGTTAATTCAAAATCCGGGCCAGATTGGCCAAAAAACCGTCAGGGGTAGGTATACTTTTGAAACGGCCAAAAATATTAAAATGGTTGCCAAACCGATCAAAATTTTTTCCACAGGCTGATTCCATGTGTTTAGAGGTTTCAAGACATGCTCTTTCGAATGGCATTAGCAGTTTTTTGATATCTCTTACCAAACTCTAGATACTGCAATTTTCCATGGGGTAGGTATACTTTCGTAACGGAGTGTATATATTTAATATAATCCTGCTGTTCAGCTTCGGCGTCTGAACCAGCACTTGCGTCGGAAGTATCGCAGAACCACCGGAACTATCAAGTGGCTCGTAGCGTTCCAGAAGGAGTTACGAACCATTCTTCCGACCGATTATGAGGTCCAAGGGTTCGTCGTGTCACTGACTCCGGCCAAAATCATGTGGCTCGTCAAGTCGACGTTCGAAAAGCTCAGGAACGACAACATACACCATATCATGGTGTTCGCCGACACGTTAACCGCCACTGTTGAAAAGCGCGTTGGGAGTTGCGAAGAGCTCGAACGAATCGTGGTGAATCTGCGGACGGAGGTCTGCGACAACACTGTTGACATCTACAACTCGGTGTGGCTGTCGTTCTTGCATATCATTGTGATTTTTATCCCCTTTGTTGTGATTGGTGGGGCTCTTGGGAGATTGCATTAAAGATAGAAAGATATACTTTGTAATCAAACATACCATATACCATAATTTTTTTTTGATGAATAAATATGTAGTGTTTATGTCATCTGTCGGGAAAATAATGAGCATAATGTCGCTGCATCGATAGGGTCGCTGAAATGAAAGGCAATTTGATTTTGTCGCGACAAACATTTTCTCGGCAGCGATGCGAGTTTCGATGCGACAGAGAGGTCATTATTTTCCCGACAGATTGATAAATAACCTCATTTTAAAAACTAATAAAAAAAATCGAAAAAAACGTTCATTTCCTTCCACTGACCTTCCCTAAGCCGGTCGATAATTTTCATTTTTCCTTCTTTCCATTTCCACCTTCTGAATCGACCGGTCGCATGATACCGCGACTCGCCCTGCTCTTCCTCGTCTTTCTTCGGGTCTCCGCCGAAGATGAAGCCCCGAAGCCGGCTGCCGGAGGCTTGGGATTCCTCAGCAGTTATGCCGATGGAATCGTTGCTGGCGTCGCACCTCGACCATTTCCGGAAAAAGTCATCGATGATTTGTTGATCGATGGGAACGCGAAGAAAGAGGAGACAGTAGGTTGATGAAGGGAGAGTTTTTTTGAGGGAATTGGGAATTTTTTTGGGGGAAATTGTGAGTTTTTTAGGCAAATTGTGAATTTTTAGGCAGCTTGTGGACTTTGCAGGAAAATTATGGTTTTTTGGGAAATTTTGGATTTCGGGCAAATCAAAAACGTTGAGGCAAACTGTGATTTTTTTTGGACAGGCCGTGAATTTTTGGGCAAATTGTGATTTTTTGGGCAAATATAATTTTTTTGGGCGAAACGTCTTTTTTTTGGGCTAATTGTAAATTTTTCGGGCAAATTGCGATTTTTTGGGCAAATATAAATTTTTTGGGCGAAACGTCTTTTTTTGGGCAAATTGTAAATTGTTTTGGGCAAATTGTCATTTTCTGGGCAAATATAATTTTTTTGGGCGAAACGTCTTTTTTGGGCTAATTGTAATTTTTTTGGGCAAATTTTTTTGGGCAAATTTTGATTTTGAAGGCGGCGAACTTTTGGAAATTCTTGGGAAATTATGAACTTTTAGTCGAATTATGAATTTTTGGAGAAACTTCGGATTCTTGGTGAAATTGGTAAGTTTTTTGGGTAAATTGTTTTCTGAAATTTCAAATTCTTTTGGCGATTTATAAATTTTTGAGCATATTAAAATTTTGAGATTTTTTACACTAGCCTATTCTTTTTATTTTCAGTACCAGCCATATGCCGAAACCATTGTCCGGCTTCCCATGGTGATCCTCGTTGTCACATTTGTGTTTATTACCGGCTACATCATCTTCCTCTGCATAGCGTGCTTCTGTTGTACAAGCTGGCACGGTCCGGTTGATCGGAAACTTTTCAAAAATTTGTTTGATGGAATCTTCGCAGCACTCGCTTTGAGCTTTCTTTTCTTCGCCATCTTTGTTCTGTACGCCGGGACAGTGGCGAATAATCGGCTGGATTTGGTGACACACAGATTGGACCATTATACGGAGCGAGTGGACGGTTATATTGTGGAGAATTGCGGGGTAGGGCAACGTGAAAACTTTTTTTTTTGTTTTTTTGGTTTTTTCTCAGAAATTTTTTTAAATTTTTGCGCTTTTTTCTCAGCAATTTTTTTTTCAGATTCTCAGAAATATTGCCAAGGAAGATGCTCCTCAAATGATCGAGAATGTGAAGTCCAAACTTTTAAAGAATGTCAACGAATTGGCCGCAAATTTGGCAGCGAAAATCAAAAGCCTAATGGATCCGCTGATGGGAAAAGTTGATAACTGTAAGAGTCTCTGGAAAAAGTTCCTTATTTTGGCCACAACAACGGTACTCCGCGAACTGCGCCCAAGCTTGGGCACTTAGGAAAAAACGCTTCGACCTAGCTGGATTACTATGGATTACATTGAATTACTATAATAATAGCTTTATAGTTTTAAGGGTACCTACGAAGGCTGTGACGACTCATTTAGTTCCATACGAAGGAAATAAGTTTAGTTCCGGAATTGTTTCATCGTATAGAGTGTAAAATCACAGGCTGCAGCCGTTATTGAAGGGTAAGGTGGTACGTAAAAAAGAAGGTACCTCACTAACTAAATCCACTGTCCGGGCATTGACAACGATGAATTGAGCGTGCACGCTAAATTTGGGCTAATTCCGACCAGTTTCCGCAAAGTTATAAGTTGTGGCCAAAATAAGGAAGTTGTACCGAGTCTCTCTTTTCATAATCCTCAATACCCAAAAATTTTAGGTGTCGCTGCGCTTGCAACTGTCTCATCAGAAGAAGTCACTGACCTTTATAAATATCTTGACGGGCTTGAGCATAGTCCGGGAATTGGTGGAGTTGCCGGCCCTATTGCTAGGTCGATTAAGGCAAGTTTAGCTCACAGGGGAAGTACTCCAAGTGCGACGCTCACATTTTGATGAAACTTGGCACAAATTTAGAATAATTTTTTCTAAGATATATGAGAGAATTCTAGCTCGCGCTTTGCAGAAACAACCGAGATTTTTAGGCCGAAAGTCGGCGAAATTTTAGGACTTTTTGCCGAATTTCGGCACGAAAATTTTCATGCTTTTTCTACCGTAAAGGATAATGTTTCTACAAAAAATCAAGATTTTCCGCACGGAACTGCCAAAGTTATGGCCAAAAAGCGCTTTTCTCTCTGACCGCTCTCCACGTTTATCGGTGGCCAGGGAAAATCGCAATTTGCCCAAAATTTCCAAATTTTGTCCGGAAATGGAAAATTTGCCCAACATTTTATAATTTGCCCAAAAATTGAAAATTTGCCCACCATTTTATAATTTGCCCAAAAAATCAAATATTGTTCAAAAATACAAAATTTGTCTGAAAATCCATAATTTGCCCAAGAATACCAAATTCCTCCAAAAAATCCAAAACTTTCCCAAAATTTTCCAATTTGCCCAAAAATACCAAATTTCCCCGTGCTCTCTCGGCGGCGCCCGCAAAGCGCGAGCTAAAACTTTCAGGAATTGATATTTTGTCCATACTGGACGTGTGTGCAAAATTTAAAGAAGATCTGAGGGTCGCACTTGGAGTACCTTCCTTGTGTCTTTTGTCACTTTTTTGTCTTTGATTTCAGATCAACCTGGGCAGGTTGGATGTAGACTTCCCAAAGCTGGAGCAGTTCCGAGGCCTGAACATTCGAAAGGATGCTGATTCCAAGTTGGCGGAGCTGACAAACGATATAAAAAAGAAGAGCGAGAAGGTGTTGAACAGTAAGTTGGTATTGGTCTTGGAAGAGTCTAGGAATAACGGAAATATATATTTCAAAAAAAAAAAAAAAAAAACAACAAAAAATACGCCGAGGATAGGGCGCAGCTCGGGGAAATTAATTTTTATTTTTATTATTTTTATATTTTTTCGGGTTTTAAAAAAACTATGTAAAATTTTGTGGAAATTTTTTTTGTTATTTTTTTTATTTCAGCTTTCGATGATAAGTTGAAAGAAGAATTGGATCCCAGATTGGTCGACGAGAGTTTCTGTGGACCAGAGAACGAGATCACCGCAAAAATCAAGGAGAGCGTAGCAAAGATTCAAGAGAAGGACGTCCTGGCCTTGTTTGATCATCTGTATGTTTTTTATTATTTTTTAGAAATTTGATTTTTTTTTGACTTCTTTTATTTTTTTTGATTTTTTACTTTTTTAAATATCTTTTTCTTTTTTCTTGTGTTTTGATTTTTTGACCTTTTATTTTTTATTTTTTTTTTATTTTTTATTTTTTGTTCTTTTTCAGATACAATGTCATGATGGCCTGTGCCGTGATTGTTTTAATTATTGCGGTCTTGGCCCTATTCGCAGTTGCTGTCGGCTGCGTTCAGACAAACAGCAAGACCAAACTTTTTCCACCGAAATGGCTGTATCAAGGGTTAGTTTGTCCGAAATTTTTTTTTTGTTTTATTAAGAAAACTATTTTTTAATATTTTTTTCAGCGCTCTCGGCCTTGCCTTGTTCTTCATGATCCCGTTGGCAACACTTGGTAGCATCTATTTCCTCGTCTTTGGCATCGCCACGGACGTTGTGTGCGATCCGTGGAGGCATCCGGAAAGTCGACCGGAAATGGTCGGAGCGGTCGATAAATTTTTGAAGAAATTTATCAACCAAAACCGGGAGTACGGCCTCTCGGAAATCGTGGGAAATGTCGAGAATCCGTTCGCCGCCACAGTCCAACAATGCTCGGATGAAATTACGATGGTCAAGATACTCAAGCTGACCGATAGATTTACGGTGGATGAGCATCAGATCAGCGATAACTTGTTTCGAATAGAAAGGGACATCAAGGAGAGTCTGGTGCCTGCGGAGAGCACGAAATTTGGAACGGAGTATTTCAAGGACTTGGAAATGCTCAGAGAGATTGACCAAGGAAAGGTTGATGATCAGGATGTAAGTTGGGGAGGGCGTTTGCGGGTTGAAAAAGGCTTGATTTTTACAGAATTTTTGAATTGTTAGGATACTTTTAACTTGCCTAAAAATTCAAAATTTCCCTGAAATTTTAAAATTTTCCCGAAATTTCACAATTTGTGCGAAAATCCAGAATTTGCCCAAAAATACCAAATTTCTCCAAAAAATTCATAGTTTGCCCAAAAATCCAAGATTTCCCCAAAATTTCAAAGTTTGCCAAAAATTTCAAATTTTGCCCAAGATTTTACAAATTTGCGGAAAATCCAAAATTTGCCCAAAAAATCAAAATTCTATCTGAAAATCTTAGTTGGCCAGGAAAGTCGCAATTTGCCCAAAATTCCCAAATTTTGTCCGGAAATCCAAAATTTGCCCAACTTTTCATAATTTGCCCGAAAATCCAAAATTTGCCCAAAAGCTCAAAAATTGTCCAAATATACTAAATTTGTCCAAAAATCCAAAATTCGCCCAAAAATATCAAATTTCTCCAAAAAAATCATAATTTGCCCAAAAAACCAAATTTCTCCCAAAAATTCATAGTTTGCCCAAAAATCCAAAATTTCCCCAAAATATCCCAATTTGCCCAAAAATGCCAAATTTCCCCAAAAAGTTCAAAATTTTTCCGAGAACTCAAAATTTACCTCAGAATCCACATTTTTTATGTATTTTTTTATGTACTCTTATATTTTCAGCTCGTTGCCCTCAAGGACGCACTTGGTCCCGATTACAACAAGGACGCGGAAAAAGCGGAAGAAACGTTGAGAAAATTGGGCAAGTTGATCGAAACCCTCAAAGCCAATGTGCCCGCCGAATCCGAGGTTGACGATTTTCGCGGTCTCTCGGATGCCGACCGAGTCCGATTAGTAGCCCGTCCATTCATCAAAACGCTACTGGAGGCGGCCCGAAATGCGGTCGATGAGCTGTTATCGAGCGTCAAATCGACCGTCGAGGGGAGGGTCGCGAATTGTGGGAGGTTTGCGCGCATCACCAACGACTTGCGCACTGAGGTTTGTGCTGACATTGTGGACGTGTACAATGTGGTTTGGCTCGGGTTCTTCCACATTGTCCTCACGTTTGTCCCATTCGTTGTTTTTGCCGGTCTGTTGGCAAGAATGCACGATGGGAAGAGGAGTAAAACCGAGCGGAAAACTAAAACATCGGAGGTGGAAACGCTGTCGGCTTCGCCTCGGCCGGAATGAAGGAAGCGATTTTGGGCGTTTCGAGGAATTGCGTGGAAATAAACAGGCTTTGTTTGGTGTGGGAATTTGAATTTTTTGGAGGTTTTACGAGCCACAGAGCATAATATGTTACATATGATGGAAAGCATCAAAAAAATGTATCAGCCTGTCGGGAAAATAATGAGCAAAATGTCGCTGCGCCGATCGCGTCGCTGAAGTGAAAGCATTTCGATTTTTTAAATTTACAGTGACGGACCTGATTCAGTGGCAAGAAACGTACCATTTTGCATCCGGGAAGTATCGAAAATGTGACAAAATGCTTCCCTCTCCAAGTGAAAAACTTTTAAAAACGCGCCCCCCAAAACAAAGTTTTTTACTTGGAGAGGGAGGTATTTTGCCACATTTTCGATACTTCTCGGATGCAAAATGGTACGTTTTTTGCCACTGAATCAGGTCCGCCACTGTACACGAAATTTCCCTCGAGCTGCGAGAAAACAATCAAATTCATGGAATATTATACATTTTTTTAAATATTGGGCTGTCTCTCTTCATTTTCTAACAATAAGATCTCAAAAAAAGCAATTCTTTGCCCATTTATGCAACGATTAAACAACAAGGTAATTTACATCTGGGGCCAAGGTGGGTATCCCAAGGCTTTGTGAACACATAGAAAGGTGGATTCAAGATTTTTTTTGATATTCAGTCGGTTGAAGATAGCGGGTCTCAGGTCCAGAAAAAACTATTTGTGCTAATTAGGCATACAAATTCAAGGCATACCGAACTTGCTGCAAGATATAAATCACCTTGGTTATATTATCTAAAATATCAGTGTTTTCTAACAACTTCAACGTTCGAGATTGCTCCATTCACCTTCTTCTGAAGCAGACTTAAATCCTGGCTGGGTTTGAAGAAAGTCACCTCATTCTTGACAAAGTCCAGGCAATATCCATTGTTGATCCAGAAGGGAGTGCCCAGAACGAAGACATTCTCCGTGTTGGAGCGGAGTTTCAGCCGGTATCTTTGATTCACCGGTTCAGTGAAAGCGGAGGGCCTTGAAAAGTCTTTTGGTTTACGTTTACTGCAACCTACTTGACTTCAAACACTATTTCCTTGACACTGACCAAGATGTTTGAAAGCTTCGATAAGTCTTCAACGTAATACTCGCCGTTCTCTTTAACAGCTCCAAATTCTTTAATGATGCCGCTGAATTCGTTAACTGGTAAGCTAAGTGCATCTAAAGTTGTAGACAACACCGCGGATCGAACCGAACTTTGAGTGTTTTGAAGCGAGACTTTGACTGAAGAGATCTTCCACAAATTGCTGTTGGTTTCGGCGGGAATGGCGATGATTTTGCTGCTCTCATATCGGCTGGAAGGATAGCCAAGGTCGGTGCTGACGATGTGGGCACTGAAACACAGAGAGATGCAGTATAAGGAACATTACAATGTAATATTCCAGTTAATTTGACGAGAAACAAACCAAACCCTATTTGATCACCATAAATGGAACTATCATCAGCCTGCCGGGAAAATAATGAGCACTCAGTCGTATCGGAAATCGCGACAAATCAAATTGTTTCCTACTTCAGCGGTGCGATTAGCGCAGCGGCCGAATGCTCATTATTTTGCCGACAGACTGATCGGTGGGCCAAATAAGAGGGCTTCCGGGTAACTCAATTTTTTCGGCCATGATGCTCAGCCGCGCGTTTCGGCCGCATCGACTTTTACGTCTCGCAACTTGCAGCACTCAAGACAGGATAGTCGCGGCAAAAAGCCCTTGGAATTTTTCGCGTCCCCCAAATCTCGTCGCACCCCCGAAATGTTGATTTGTCGCGGGAATCGCGCGCGACAATAAGGCAAAAACATGAAAATTGCACTGTGCAAAAGTACTTTTCGGGTTCATGCACAGTGCCGGGTCACAGAAAATTCCAAGGACATTTTGCCGCGACTAGTAAGACGCCTCCTGAACGCGTAGTTTTTGCTTTTTATGTGCCTTGTGCAGTGCAAAAGAAAAAAATTGCCATGGCCGAAAAGCGTGGCGGAAAAAATTTGAACCCCTCTTAAGTCTTGACATGTCTTGCTGCAACTTTTCAAATGGTGAGACAGAGTGCTCATTACTTTCCCGACAGACTGTAAATTTGAATAGCAAATATTCCCTGTATTCTTCTCTAACTTACTCCTCACTTTCCACGATGCTTCCACATAGCGTGTGCTCCAGAACCAAATCAAAAAGCCCTTGTTTCAAGGTAGTTTGACCCTTCGTACTTCTGTCCAATCCAACCCTCCCCACACTCCATTGGCCATCATTGCTTTTTGCTGGGTTAACCTGCCCTTCAACGGTGTCCACAACGCCGAATCGGAATCTCACATTGGCCACGGGAGAGAAGAGTGCATCCTCAACCAATATCCCCTTTACGCTTGAGTTGGCATCGTTGTATAATTCGATGTAGTCAACGGAATATTGACGAGTCAATTTCTCAAGCGTTGAAGATTTATCCGGGTTGAAAGTGTTGTGTTTCCCGGCGGGCCTCAGAAATTGCCGAGAATTGAGGACAAAGTCGTTGGAAGAGGTTGTATCGACGATAAAGTTCCTTACATCGTTGAGATTGTCTTCAAGCCGAAGCCCAAGTTTGAAGCTCAAGTTGTCAGCGAAGCTGACAGAAAGTAGTCCAAGGAAAAGCAGTTTTTTGAATAGCTTAACGGCCATTTCTAGCTTTATAAAACACTAAAGTTGCGCGTTGAATACAAAGTTTTAACAAGTCAACTTCACTTTTATTCTAGCTTTGTCCATTTATATTTACGTATCGCTGAAATTGCTATGTTTCTTATCAGCTAAACAATTAAACTCTGCTGCTGATAAATGGCTGAAATTTCTTTATTATTCGGGGTATTTTCCCATTCTCCAAGCCTGAGGTAATATGATGTTCAATGATGGAGAAGGGCGCATTTTTATCTTTCCGAGACAAGAATTCAGGAAGGTACAAACCACAGGAAATACATATTACATATAAGGCGCGCACAACAGGAAATAAGAAATGGATACCTTGCAAAGCAGAAGAGATTGTGATAACCAGAGATTGCCAAGGCTCCGGAGCCGACTATTGGCTCCGGTTTTGAGCGGCTCCAGCTCCGACCCGGGAGCCAGAGCCGGAACCGGGAACTTTGGGCCGGTTTCCAAGCCCAAAGTAAGAGCCAGGCTTCGCAGCGATCAGAAAAGTAAAAATTTCGTGACCTTGTTAAACCAATTGCCTGAAAAGTACTGGGAAGGATGTGTTGCAAACAATTTGGCTGCAAAAACGTTGGTTTTCTGATCTCTGTCACCAATCATTTTTTTTTGGAAAGTGAGTTGAAGGTTTGATTACGGTAACCAAATTGGCAAGATGTCATCATGTTACGGGGTTTGGGGTGACGAAAAGTTCTCTCTCCGATCAATCTAGGGCCTTGGATTCTGAGGAACTAGGAGAATGAAAATATGTTGGACAAAGCGCCACAAATTCACATTATTTTTCCGGTAGACTGATACTGCCCGCCCTGAAAAGTTCGGACAATTTCCGACAGCTTGCTGTACATAATATAATAGTACATACATATGTATTTATTTTTCTGGCAGTTCAAACCCAAATTTGATATAATCAACATGATATAACTGTAAGAACATTCGCATCAAATACTCATCACTCTTGATCCTTTCTCTAATAAACTGTTTTGCCTGCCTCCTGTATTCATTGTCTTCCTCCTGTCTCGAGTCGAAATGCACCTGAATTACATCGACATCGTCTTGATTCACCCCGTTTTTCTGCGAGATCTCCTTGATTTTCTGCAAAACGGCTGGTATGCTTCGATTATCATCGTATGTGATGACTCGATACTCGTTGAAATGTCGGTTAAAGTCGCAGAACCACGCCTGTGGAGAGAAGAATGTTTCGTGGAGATCAGATTTGGCGTCAAAGTTCAAAAGCTCTTTTGTTTTCTCTTCCAAAAAGCAGGTAATGTTTGAAGAGCAGCTGCTGCATGATGCTGTTTCGGTTGACGAGCAGGAAATTCTAAATCGTTCTTATAACATTGCACCTTGAGAAGATAGTGTAAAGACACTAATATATCAGTCTGTCGGGAAAATAATGAGTAAGTACTCAGGCGCATCAAAAATGACATTGCCGCAGAGAAAATGATTGTGTCTGGGCAAAATCAAATTGCTTTCACTTCAGCGACACGATCGGTGTAGCGACATTGTGCTCTTTATTTTCCCGACATACTGATTGCGAGGGTTCTTCAGAAGAATCAGGGGACTGATTTTTGACGTTTGTGCTGTGAGAAAAAGTCAGGGAGCGAGCGAAGTACAAAAAAGGGCTATTGCACAGTGCAAAGCAAAATTTTGTTCTCGCACAGTGCGCGTTGCCCATTTCAGTCCGGCAATTTTCCGGATAAACTATAATATGTATTATCAACATGTCGGGAAAATAATGAGGACAACGTTGCTGCGCCAGTCGTGTCGCTGAAGTGAAAAGCAATAAAAAAAATGAAAATATATAGTATACTGCTTCGATAGCGGTCTGCCGGGAAAATAATATCGATTTTCTGTTCCTTGGAATCACTTGTCATCGCTTTTTCGACTGCTTTCCGCGGCTGAAAATTAGGTGCGTGACCCGAGAAAAGATCTCTCTTTCTGCGAAAAATCCGCATTATTTTCCCGACGGACGGATTTATCAGTTTTTCAGGGAAATTATGAGCACTCTGTTGCAGCAATAATCGTGTCACCGCCGAGAAAATTAATTGTATTGCCAGCAACAAAATCAGCTTGCTTTTCCCTTACAGACGCCCAAAATCGAACCCACATCTTCTGGCGCAAAACTGACCACTCGGCCATCACTGCAGATGAAATGAGCGGTTTCTTTTGAGGAGGCTATTCTCTCATTTCGGCTAAACTCTTCGGTCGATTTTCTCGGCCGAAAAGCCCCGAAAACACTTTTGGAAATCAGTTTCATGATCGCATATGCTTTACGTTTGAAACCTACTAGGTCCCGTTTCAAAGTCCGTCTGCGAAAAATGTGACTTCCCTTATTAGGAAACGCAATTGACGCGACGAATTGCCTTCATTATTTAACCGACAGACTCTTATAAACCTTACCCTGACCCGGTTGTCGATCGCTCTTCTGTCCGATAAGCATGTAACATTTCCGCTGTCACAGATATCTTCCAGCGACAGCTTAGAAGTCTCTTCTTCATTATATGTTAGCTAAAACAAAAGCTTTGATCAAGTCGTGTCGACATACCATATTGCTGTTTACAATCTCGTTGTAATCCGCCTCTGTAATGCGTCTCCTCTCGTGCAAAACAGCGGTAGGTAAAACCGGAAAATCAGATTGTTGAGCAAGAGGGCTTGAGTTGATACAGTTGTTCCCATGACTTTTCCCGATTAACCATATCAAAAATAATGCCGAGATCAAGATTAGTAAAATGACAGAGACGGTGACATTCTGGTCGAGGTTCGAGAACCGCGGTTTCTGAAAGAATTCTCTTGTTATCAGTCTGTCGAGAAAATAATAAGCACTCTGCCGCATTGAAAATCGCATCACCTCCTAGAAAATGAATTGTGTCGCTGAAAAATCAAATTTTTACTAGAGCAATGCGATTGGTGCAGCGACATTGCGATCATTGTTTTCCCGACGATAGCATTTTTTGGCCATTTCTTGGGGACGCACATCAAACTGAGGAGCCCGGTGACAGTAATAGACTCTTCGCTATTACACTTCGTCTTGACTTCGCAGAGAAAGAGAGAAAAAGACACACAAAAGCGTACTCTCTCGCCCCAAAAATTCCCCATTTCTTCCTCGACAGAACGTTTTTTCGCGTCTTTTTTTGGCAAATTGCCAATCCATTCACCAGACTGGTTTAGCTTATCTCGGTTTGACGTGGGACGTTGCCGTCTACGGTAGAAATAGGTTTGAGATGTTTCATTCCAAAATTGCCATCTTCCCAAAATAATGACGACAATTGTGCCAAGACTTGCCGTTTTTAATTTTAGCATTCTAGCTGAACTTTTAGCTGACTTATAAGCCCAGCTGTGAAACAATACGGATTTTTTGTGTTTTTGGAGTAAAATCTAGGCGGGTTTAGGTATACTGTAACATTTGAGGACGATTTTTATACTCTTACAAAGCTAATTGTGTACTCCATAAGCCCTGTAAGTTTCATCAACTTACGGCCACCGGCTCAAAAGTCATGGCTCCAACTTTGAGACCTACTCTAGGTTTTGGATCAACAAGAGCGGTTTCTCTCGGACTCTCTCGCTAATTCGAGGTCTTTTCGCGTCTCTGACCAAAACCGTACGGAAAAAAACGCACGTTCTGTTAGTCGGACAGCCCCCTGGGGGGTTATTGTACAGAGGTTCCACAAAATGACATACAAAAAAATCAATTTCCTCTTACCATTGTGCCAATCTCTTCCCTGTCCTCTTCCAATAACATTGGTCAAAGTGCTGGGCAGTAAAATTCCGAACCACATTACCTTCCACGGACCATTGCCCACTAAACGATATTTGAATAAATAATCGAAATCGCCGAAACTCGATGCACTTTGATGCTCTTGTAAAAAAGAGAAGAGTTTATAAAAAAGAAGAATTCACTGTGACAGGTTTTCACAAATTCATGAAACTTTTTTCCCTCCCTTTTTATTATGTAAAGACTTGACATGTTTTATATAAAGATAGATAGGAAAGATGACAAAAAAATGAAAAAAAATGCCGCGAAACATCTGGGAGACGTTTGCGTGATCAAAACTGATTCGGTTAGGTAATAAAAGAGAGAATAAGTAGGCTTTTCACATGGTTTATGGGAGTAGTAAAGTGCAATGGTAAGAAATAGAGGGCAATATAGGAAAGAACGGATGTTATAAAAAAATTGTTTTTGCTGAAAAAATCACCGTTCTGCTTGGAACGGCTAACGGCGAGTGTTTGACGTGGTGTAAACAGAATTCAATGAAGCGTAGCTTAAATTTATATTACTATTTATCAAGGAATATGCGAGAATATTAGCTCGCGTTTTGCATAAATTTTTTTGGTCCGGAGTTATCAAAAAAATTTTTTGCGATCTTTTGGTTAATAAGCTCTAGTGTAACATTTATCGCACAAAATTACAAGTGGTCCCTGTGAAAACAAGCGTGTTATGAGCAAAAACAGTTTCCGAAAAAAACTATTGCCAGTCCGACTCTCTTCATTTTGCGTGCTCTCTTGAAAGAAGATATGAGTCTGTCGGAAAAATAACGGCGGATCGTCGCAGCAAAATGTCTTGCCTCGATGTTATCGCGCACCGAATTCACAGCCGCGGCTTGCAGTCACAAAGCGATGAAGGGCGATTCCAAGGCGTGACGAACCGCCGTTATTTTCCCGACAGACTTATGGTCGCATATCAAGGCTGTTGCTGGGAAGCGCGAGCTAAAACTCTCTAGAATTGATGTGTGCGTAGCTTAGAATGTTCGTGAAGCCGGGCCTCGAGAGTTCCCCTAGTCGCGCCATAAAGTCCATAGAATTTGCACACAGCTTTTCTTCGCCCGAGCCGCTGCGACTTTCCGTTTTTACACTAGCGACATTTGATGGCGCTAGTGTCTTCTGGCCTTCACGATTTTTTCGCGTCTTCTCCCCAAAGACCGTGGAATTAAATATAATAATTGGTCGGTCCAAACATTTCTCTTGTTGGACTGCTTGCTACGTAAGACAGAACGCGTCCGTAATAGTATATACAGCAAAAGTGAACCGCCTGAAAATCCATTTCATGTCGGGAAGGTCGTAAAATAAAATCCGCTCACATAATAAAGGGTCGTATGTGCTGCTATGGAGATGTCGTTTAGCCTATCGTTTGATGGGTAAAGTGGCGCCTCCGAGGCTGTTCTGGACAAAGAAGACGCTACGCATCGAAATTAGGGCCTTGATTGGAATGCATCAGATGCGATGACCGATTTTTGATACTTCTAATCAAAACCGGTCCGCATTTGAGACACCTCGAAAAGCCAATCATGGCCAAAACAAGTCTCTTTTGCATGCCCCTGTAAAAGCGTTTGCTGGCTTCTTGCCACGGCTTGTACAGTGAAGGATAAGATCCAGTGGCAAAAAACGTACCATTTTGCATCCGGGAAGCAGCAAAACTGTGGCAAAATACTTCCCCTCAAACTTTGTTTTGTAGCCTTTCCCTCACAAAAAGAGCGGGCGGGCTTTTGAAGACGGAGTTTTTTCACTTGGAGAGGGAAGCATTGTGCCACATTTTTGATACTTCCCGGATGCAAAATGGAACGTTTTTTGCCGCTGGATCAAGTCCCCCGGTGTATCCATTATTTTTTTATTTGTCCGGTAAAACATATATGTGTTTTACCGATATATGTGTAAATGTGTTCCACGTTCCCCTTCCCTGTTGGCGGCGAAGCTAAACTGTAATTATTGTCGTCTCGATATGAAGTGAAAAGCAATTTGTGTTTTCCGCGACACAATTCATTTTCCCCGTGGCGATACAATTTTTGATGCGACAAGGTGCTCATTATTTTTCCGACGGACTGGTAAAGTTGCTCGATTATAATAAAATGTCATATATATTCTTTTGTTTATATAATACATTTAGGTCACATATATTGAAACATTCAAAACTTTCGGATTACAACGCCGATAAATTATCAACAATAACATATATAATAGTCACCCGTTATAGCTTGTAGACACGCAAAACTGTATGTATTTTCTTTCTCCTAATTCACACTCTTGTAATCAACGTTCTTTAGACTAACTGTGAACTTTACGTAGTGGCGAAGCGCCAGCTCTCCGTAAAAAAGACCGCCATACATGGTTGTGTGCATATGGTCGACGTAATGCAGGACGCCGTGTGGACTGACAAATTTGCACCTTCCCTGTTTCGAGGTTTCGCAGAAGATTTGGCTGTAGTCGACTCTAATGCATTTCGTGCAGCTTATGTCGTCAATTCGCCTGTTGATGTCGGAAACGGTCGATCGCTGGGTCTAAAGATAACAGTTGAAGTCTTCATATGGAAGTTTGTTAAAAATATTGAACGATCCTTGCCGCCGAAAGAGTACGCTAAACGCGGAGAGCGGTCCGAGAGAAAAGCAATTTTTGATCATAACTTTGCTAGTTTCGTACGGGGAAAAATGATTTTTGTGGAAACATTACCCTCTATGGTGGAAATAGGCATGAAACTTTTCGTGCCGAACTTCGGCAAAAAATATCAAATTTTAGCCGGTTTTTAAATCTAAAACCTCGGCCTTTTCTGCAAAGCGCGAGCTAGGGGATTGCCCTCGTCAAAGACTTCTCTTTTCACAGGGGAAGTACCCCAAGTGCGACGCTCAGATTTTGATGAAACTTGGCACAAATTTGGAACAATATTTTCTAAAATATATGCGAGAATCCTAGCCCGCGGTTTGCGGAAACAACCGAGATTTTTAGATTGAAAGTTGGCGAAAATTTGACACCTTTTGCCCGAATTTCGGCACGAAAAGGTTCATGCCTATTTCCCACCATAGAGGGTAATGTTTCAACAAAAAATCATTTTTTTCCGTATGAAACTAACAAAATTAAGATGAAAAAGTGTTTTTCTCTCTGACCGCTCTCCGCGTTTAGCGTACTCTCTCGGCGGCAAAGATCGTTCAATATCTCGGTGGCACTTGCAAAGCGCGACATAAATCTTTCGAGAATTGATGCTGAGTTCATGACCGATGTGTGTGCAAAATTAAAAGAAAATCTGAGCGTCGCACTTGGAGCACTTCCCTTGTCAGAAAAACACTTTTTGGTCATAATTTTATCTACAAAACCGCGGCAAAAACTTTCAAAAAGCGTTCAAAAGTCCACACGGAAAGTTCTCGCCAAATTTTCATCAAATTATAACCTTTGCATGAAGAGATACGTTTCAAATTTTAAACTTACCTCGGCGGAAGTGCTGATGTCCCTTTGCCCAAGTCCCACACGTTTCATATAGATTGGGAACTCGTTTGGAGCCCACACTTCCCCATATGGCATAATCACTGCCTCATTCGCAATATTGTCCAACGCGGTGTAGAACTTTTGCATTCCCCGTTGCAACTCGTCCTGTTCCGTGTACTTGATGCCCTTGAACTCGCCGTAACTAAAATCACCCAAAAACTTAAGATCATAATTCAAGAAAAATCAAAAAATTACAGTAACCTACGAATGCTGCACAATGATGATATCGATTTTTCTCGGCCAATTTTCCAAAATATCAAGAATTTGATCCTCGAACTCGAAGCAGCGTTGAATACACATCTCCCCACAAAACACGGTCTCCTTTGCAAATTTGGCCATGTACGGAGAGCAATGGCCAGCTGCCATAACTGTGATGTTGCCCGCAATGTTGTGGAACATTGTTTTTACCCCGAATAAAAGATCTCTGGCCAAACTGTTGCCGAAAATGACAATTTCTTTGCTGCCGTTGCCCTGAAAGCTCGCTGAGTATGTTTTGTTTCTATAATATCTTGATGCATATATTATATTTACAGGCAATGCTCTTCAATCGTATTTCGGAAACGGATGACTTTCTAAATTCGGTATTTTTATATTCGCAGAAAAAAAGCTCCAAATATGCTACGTTTCTTTGTTGTTTGATCAGCCTGGGCTTTTTGTTGCAGCAGTGCTGCCGATTTTTAGGATGTGTTTGCCCTATGCGGAATGTATGTAGAGTTTTGAAGGTTTTGAGGCCCTAAAAGTTTAAAATATACGAATTCTTGTTATTACATTTTTTTTTATTCTGGCACCAATTTGACATTCCAATTTTTTCATACATTTAGTGCAAAATCCGCATAAAAATTGAATTTTTGCTCACATGGGGGTCATTTTTTTCTCGGGTGAGGTTGTGTGGCCGCTCTCTCAGAGCTCTGAAAATTCGAAATCCCCATGATTCCAAATTTCGACTATGCAAATTTCAAAAAGGGTTTAAAATCTTGGGAAATTTGGATTTTCAGAACTCTTGAAGAGCGATCAACCAACCTTCCTCCTGAATGAAAATGCCGACGAATGAGCGAAAATTCGATTTTCATGCAAATTTTGCACTAAATTTGTGAGAGAATGTCTACAAATTTTTAGTCTCAAGCCCAAAGCTTGCCAATTTTCAAAGTTTCCAAAGCGTGGCCCGGGACTGCTTGGGAGAGATGAAAAAGCCATTAGCCAATTTTCGGCAGGACTGAATATCAGTTGTCGGGAAAATAATGAGCGCAATGTCGATGCGTCGCTGAAGCGAAAAGTAATTTGATTTCGCCGCGACACTATTAATTTTCTCGGCGGTGATGCAATTTTCAACGCGACAGAGTGCTCATTATTTTCCCTACAGACACTGATACAGCCTCCGTTGTTGCCGTTGCATTCTACTTACCTTTTCATGACACATCCACTGAGCGAATCCCAAGTCGAACTTCTTTTCCGTCTGCAGGTATTGCTTCATGTCCGTGCAGAATCCCCAATCATTTGTGCCGTAGTCGTACATCTGTTTGTTTAGTTCCATAGTTGCGAGCTCATCCAATGGCCATTCTTCTTCCCGATGCTGATACAACGAGTGCACTAGGTCGTCCAACGTTTGATTTTCGTGCAAGATTTGCCGAGAACTTGAGGAGTTGTGGTATGCAACGATTGAGGCGGCATACAGGGAGATGTAGCAGAGGGCCAAGGTCAAAATTAAGTGCTGCCAGGTTTTCACAAAGGATAAGAGGTATTTGAAGAGGTCTTCAACAATGTAGGAGAGAACGTAACATGCGATTATGGCGAGGTAGATTGTCTCTGAAAGAAATTTTTTTTGTTTTATTCTGTAATATCAGTCTGTCGGGAAAATAACGGCGGGTCGTCGCAACAAAATGTCCTGCCTCGCCGCTACCGCGCACCGAATTCCCAGCTGCGGCTTGCCCTCGCAAAGCGATCATGAGCGATTCCGAGGCTCAACGATCCGCCGTTATTTTCCCGGCAGACTGATATGACTGCCGCTTTCTCACATCAGTCAAATTCGGTCCCCAGTTCTTCTCCAAAGGCTATATTGGTCGGGTTCTTGCGGGTTTGAATTTTTTAGCAATTTTTTTATAAGCTACATCTCCTTGTTCAGAGTAATTAACGGGCTAACAATTTTTGACGTTTGCACTGTGCAAAAAAAGTCATCCCGACAACCTAAAAAAGCCTGTTGCACGGAGGAAAAAATCAAGAAACTGCACAGTGCAAAAGTGAACTTTGGATTTCTCACATCGCTGATTTCAGTCCGGCGACTTTCCGGAAGGACTAATATCCATTCGTCGTTCAGACTAAATTCTCCACTATTGAAGCTGTTTATCCTATCAGTCTGTCGGGAAAATAAGGGCGGGATGTCGCAGCGAAATGTCCCGCCACGTCGAAAGCCGGTGTAGTCGCGCATGAATGCGGTTGCCGTCGCAACGTGACGATTGGCGATTCCAAGGCGCAACGACCCGCCGTTATTTTCCCGACAGACTGATATGTTCGTATCTTTGATTGCACAGTGCAAACAGAAAGGAAATTGGATTGCACTGCCGATATGGTGTCGCATGGAAAAATATCATCAATCCGTCGGAAAAATAATGAACACAATGTCGCTGTGCGGATCGCGTCACTGAAATGAAAAGCATTCTCATTTTGTCACCACAAAATTCATTTTCTCGGCGGAGACATGATTTCTGCTGCGACAGAGTGTTGATTATTTTCCCGACAGACCGACATTTTGCTTTGTGCATGCTTGTGGCCTCCCGGCGCAGCTTGTCCTGGAATAATAACCGTGCGCAGTGCGTTCATCCGCTTTTTGCAGGCACCGCCGCAACTTCCCGTTTTTTCACAAGCAACATGCATTTTTTCGCACCGCAACGATGCCGGTGAAAAAACTTGTACGGTCTTTATGGCGCGACTAGAACAAATGACAGCCTTTAAAATCCTCACCTTCAAAGGGCAGTCCATCGCTTGCCTTGTATTGATCATAATTTGCGTAGTGGACCAGCTTGATAAACGGCCAATGAATCAAGTAGATTGAATATGAGATATCACCAATAAAGACGAACGGTCGCCATTTCAAAACTGCGGTTTCATCCGGAGCCGATAGCAGCATTGTTGTGGTGACGGTTGTGAAGTATCTTGAGAGCTGTGCTGTCGAGAAGCACTCATAAACAAGTTGTAAACTGAGTAGGCAAAACAGTAGTGTGTAGTAGGCTTCAAAAAGGAATCGCTGAACAACTCGTGGCTTTTTGCAGATGGTCGATTTGAGATGGTTGTAAGCTTTGTAAGCGATGAATCCACACATGAATTGCCATATTCGGCAATAGAACGACATGTGGGAGATGTTTTGGACTAAAACAAGGAGGATGAGAATAAAGAAAAAAGGTCTAAAAATTCATTTGTCGTAAATTACGCAGTTTTAAAAACGAGAAGTAAAAAGTGACAAAATTTACTGCGCGGCCCGAAAAAAGTCATTCGGACCAATGAAATTGTTTTGTTATAGACGGGGTTGGTTATGAACCTTGCTCTACAGAGGGAGATTTTATGCTCAGCCCTTGCTGAATCCATAGCGATCCCGCAAACTGAAGTTACAAGCCGCGCCACACGTCAATCCAGCGCATTTCCTGAGCCGTTTCGAAACTTCGTATCGTTTTCATTGGCTTAAAAGAGAGACGAAATGTCGCGAAATTTTCGGTACATTTTCTCGCCCGCAATATTTGCTTTTTCTCGAAAAGGAAGAAAAAAGATAAGAAAATGCGTTTTATCGGATAGTGACATTTCGTTTTGAACGAATCACCAAAAAGGGGCGGGAATTTTTTTTTCTATTTTGGATTGACGTGCGCCATAAAGTCCTTCTTACCGTTTTCATAATAAAACTGAAGGAAACAGCTAACCATTCCTAGCGCCCCAATAAGTAGATAGTCTCCGAACTGATGCAAATGCCTTGCATTCTGCATAAGCCAAAACACAAGCGGCACAATCAAATAAAATTGAATCTCCACACTCAACGACCACGTGTGCAAAAACAAGTCAAAAGTTGTCGACGTGCCAAAGTAGCCGCGCAGCGGAAGGCCTTTGAAGTTGCTGACAAACAGCGACGAGTAGTAGGCCTTGCGAACGACGTCCGCCAACTCCGTCGGCGCCATAAAGACGGTCGCCGCGATGACGGTGCAAATCAAAATGAAGATGTACGGAGGGAAGATCCGCTTGATTCGACGGTAGTAAAAGTCGGAGACGGAGCTCAGGGTAAGCTCACGGCGCGACATCAACATACACATTAAGTAGCCGGAGATGACAAAGAAACTGAAAAAATGGTTTTAGAGGTCGGAAAAAGCATTGGGAAGCTAAAGCTATATGTCGTTGTAGAAGGTTGTTGCTGTGTTATCAGTCGAACCGAAAAAAATTAAATATTAGGTTGAGTCAAAATTATCCGGCGGTTTTATTGGCGCGTTTTTTGTAAGTTAAAATTTGAGTTTTGTTAATGTTTTTTAATAAAAATTATCTTTACTATTTAGTTAACAAAATGTGTTTCGAAAACCATACTCTTATCCGCCGTATTATGCTCTACCATTTCGAGAAAAGTTGGTACCAAAAGACGTCCACTGTAAGAAGGCTACGTGGTATGTGTGGTGGGACAGAAGCGGAATCATCCACTGGGAAATCGTGTCTATTTTTTGTTCCTTCGCCGAAAAGTTCGTTGAGATCGCGGAATGACCGTGCTGACTTCCAACTTTTCTCGAAGTGGTAGAGCATAATGTGGCAAATATGAGTATGGGTTTCGACTGCCATTTTATTAACCAACCAGAGAAGATTATTTTTATAAAAAAAAAACATTAACAAAACATAAATTTTAACTTACAAGAAACGCGCCAATAAAACCGCCGGATAATTTTGACTCAACCTAATACTATGAAAAAATGCAAACTACTATGTAGCTATAAGCGCTTCTTTGCTGAGCTTACATATCCACTCCAAGGAAGCCATTTTTGAAAGTCTTTGGCCATATGTGAAAGAAGACAACGACCGTCACAGCCAAGCATCGGAGCCCTTGAATTCCATCCCTCATTTTAGAGGGGTGTCTACGACTAACCCTGAAACGAATGTACAAATATTTTGTTGACAAATACCCCAAGTGCGACGTTCGTATTTTTCTTTTCTTTTTTTAAATGTTTCACACAATATAGGCATACAGTGGCGGTCAAAAAAACGGCCACCCCAAGATGATGCGCTCTAACGCAGAAGAGAGTGGTCGTAGGAAGATAAATATGGTATCATTGTAAAGCTTATGGAATACTGTAAGACGTTTGACTATACGCTTGTGGTACTGTAGTGCTGGCCTAGCACGTACTGGGGCAATATGTTCTTTTGGCCTGGTCAAAAAAATGGCCATCCATAATTATTGTGCTTTAAATGCGGTTTATGTTAGAAATTGCCGCCATATGCGAATGGACTAGGATAGCTATATCAATACACACCAATCCCAGTATTTCTTATTTTGTACATATGCCCTCAGGCATCAGTCAAGGTTGATGACCTTGTTCATGGTTAAGGCCCGGCCAAAATTTTTGTTGGGTTTGTGCCGTTGTTTTGATAATCCGAAGCAATACTGTATTATTCGTGTGCAAGACTTCCCACATTTGTTAAAAAAAAATCTGTGCAAAACTGGCAAAGATACGGCCAAAAGTGTTTTTTTTTACTCTAATCGCACTCCACGCTTCGTGTACTCTCTCGGCGACAAATACCGCTGAATACCTCGGCTGGACCTGCAAAGCACGAGCTAAAACTTTCAGAGATTGATATGTGACACATTTTGGAGGTTTGCGAAAAATTTTGAAGAAAATATGAGCGTTGCACGTAAAGTTTAGCAACTAGTTAAAAAGTTATGTTTTAAAAAAGGTTAAGAATAGTCTCTATAAAAAACAAGGAATGTGCGACAAAAAAGAGCAATTTCACGTACGCTCAACTCCATTAGAGACAAAAATCAGATGAGCAACTGTGCATATTATGACGCCGAACTGTTTTGTTTGTTCAAGCAAGAGCTATTTTCCCGTAAAAAATTAAGGTTGGAATTTGGATCAGGCGAAATGAAACCATTTTTGTCCGTAATTCATAAACGGATAATCGGTCTTTTGCACGCAAACGATTGGGGGAAATATCCAAAATTTTAGGGTAAAGTTTCATCGCTTTGCGACGGCTAGCCGCAGCTGCAGATTTGCTGCGACGACTGATGATTATTTTCCCAATATGCTGATACTAGTCGGGGCAAAGTCCTCGGAATTTTCAGCGATAAATTTTGCAGGACTTTTTGCCCCTTATAGTAACCAAAATCGCCATTAATACTACTTAAAATTTATTAATTACTGCAACCGCCGCTTTCCTAAATACAATAACTCCAAAAGTCTTTCCGAAACAGAAGCCAACTCGGTCAAAAAGTTTCGTTTTTCCTCTCCCCCGCTATATACCTGTGCGTTACAACTCCCCAATGTTTTTGGAATGATTTGCGGAGTGCGGAGGCTTATTTTCATCCACGTAGCATTCGGCTGGTGTCCTATGCAAAGCCCCAAAGGGCGTTAGCTCATCTTGAGCGGGTTTTAAACTACAGTCCGCCGGAAATGTAATAGACACTCCAAAAACTTTTTTCACACTGTCCATTTCGTGAAAATCACTCCAGAGACTGTAAGAACCGACTACTGGTTGATCCAGAGATTGCGTAGGCTTTTTTATTATCTTCACCTCACAAACTTCTCGGCTTTGATGCCTCGAGCAGAGATTTCCCCCCAAGTGAATAATCGACTACCATACACCTTTTGATCTAACTATGTCCCAGGCCAAAGTCGATTTACACATAAAGTGCATTCCCTTGTCAGCAAAACGCGTGAAATTTGGAATCTTACAGGGGAAGTACTCCAAGTGCGACGCTCAGATTTTCTTTAAATTTTGCACACACGTCGGGTATGGACTAGATATCAATTCCTGAAAGTTTTAGCTCGCGCTTTGCGGGCGCCGCCGAGATATCGAACGATTTTTGCCGCCGAGAGAGCACGCTAAACGTGGAGAGCGGTCAGAGAGAAGAGCTCTTTTTAGCCATAGCTTTGGCAGTTTCGTGCGGAAAAATTTGATTTTTTGTAAAAACATTATCCTTTACGGTAGAAATAGACATGAAACTTTTCGTGCCGAAATTCGGCAAAAAGTCCTAAATTTTCGCCGACTTTCAATCTATAAATCCCGGTTTTTTCTGCAAAGCGCGAGCTCGGATTCTCGCATATATCTTAGAAAAAAATATTCTAAATTTGTCCAAGTTTCATCAAAATCTGAGCGTCGCACTTGGAGTACTTCCCCTGTTAATAAAATCGAATCGATCATGTATTACAGTGGTTTTGCGTGTCAACTATGTCCATGTCCGATCAAAAGAGACTATATCAGTCTGTCGGGAAAGTAACTGGCCTTTTGTTTTTATCAAAGATTTGAATTGCTTTGCTGAACTTCTAAAAATATTTTGGATTCTTTCAAAAACGGGGATTTGCATTAAATTCCGTGGCAATCAGGTAGCTTGTCAGTAGCAGTGCTCATTTTGAAGGGATTAGATTTTTTTCAAACAGACAGAAACTGATGAACAGACCAAACATTATCAGTCTGTAGGGAAAATAATGAGCACAATCTCGCTGAGCCAATCTTGTCGCTGAAATGAAAAGAAATTTGATTTTTCCGCTGCAAAATTAGTTTTCTCTGCGGCGATACGGTTTTTCGAAGTGCTCATTATTTTCCCGACAGACTTATAAATGCCTTTTTCTGCACAAACTCTCAAAAAATTGTTAGAATTTGGCCTACTTCTGATATATTCGCTGTGGTTTCTGAAGAAAAGTCGATGCGATTTTCGACACGACGGAGCTCATTATTTTCCCGACGGCCAGATAAATGTCTTTTTCTGCACAAAATCTCATATTCTTATCCTCAAATGTCCGATTTTTTGCAATTTTTATTTATTTTTATCAATTTTTAGCAAAACATATGCACAGAGTATTGTATAGACACCGATATCGCAGCTGTTACATTTCTTGGAAATTTTTTGTTTTTTTCTTTAATTTTGAATTTTTTTGGAAAACAAAAAGTTTCAAAATCGTAACGTATGTTGCAGGAGAGTTGAATAGTAAACAATGTTGAGTTTTTGTTCGAGATTAAGCTGGAGGAGAGATGAAAATACAAGTAAATACAAGCTGAAGATGGTCAGCGAGATTGCCGTAAAATGTACAGTCAAATTGTGGGAGTAAAAAAGGGATATACTGTTTGTATAATAACCAGTTTGTCGGGGAAATAATGTGGATTCATCGGATTTTTCGAATCGCCCAAAAAAAGCTTGCTTTGCAACGACTAGTCGAAGTTGGAAATTTTGCGCGCATTTTTGGTGAGGCGAGATATTTCGCTGCGACAAATCCATATTATTTTCTCGATAGACTAATAATAAGGTTGAGTTATTAGCCAGGGAATTGGTCGTAGTGGGAAGGTCAATTTTTTTGAAATTTTTGCTTCTGGGCTTTAAATATACTATATATAAATTCAAGAAATTTTTACGCTTAGTTTTGCAGGGAGAGCCGAGATATCAGCCTGTCGGGAAAATAATGTGGATTTTTTGCAAAAAAAATTTTGTTTCGTCGCCACCAAATCCTCAGCGGTCCTTAAGAAAGCGATAATGCGCGAGTCCAAACCGCGAAAAATACACATTATTTTCCCGACAGACTGTTATTCAGCGATCTTCGCGAACTCCAAAAAAATGAATTTCAAATATTATAGAAGAAGATCAGTAGCGAAAAAGAGTAAAAATTTCACCGGTTTTTTGTCTTAAACCAAAAATTTTTTTAATTTTTTTGCAATTTTTACTCAACTTTTGAGTTAAAAATACCGGAGATTTCCGCAAATTGATAGTTAAAGATCTTGCATTAGCCCTAAAAACTTGTAGTCAAAATTTTTCTCAACTTTCATCCAACCTTGACCACCGCAATCGAGAAATTCCCTCAAAAAAAGATAATGCCTTCAAGACAGGATAAAAAAAATAATTACAAGTTCGTATGTAGACCGGATAAATTTCAGATACCAGACGTATAACCGCATGCCGAATCGTTTTTTTTGTTCCCATTTTTGAGGAGGCTTCACACAATCTGTCCCGGCGGGCTCTTCTTGAAGGTGGCGGGCTGCAAGAAGTGCGTCGATATCACGTTGCTCTGCGCAATGGGCAGATCGAGCATGTCCTCTTTCAGGAAGCGGAAGGCCCGATAGACGACGGTCTCGAACCACATGCCGACCACGAGGCACAGCAGGATGACCACCATTTGGAAGAAGGTGAGCCAGCGGATCACTGAAAAGATGATTTTGTATTTTTTAGTCAGCATTAAAATTTTTAGGAAATTTGCATATTTTTTTAACTTGGGTATTAAGTGTGACTTTTAAACAGTATTTTAAAAAGTGGAAAGAGTTATCTTGGAGATCTCGAAAATTTGAATATGCAAATTTGAAAATGTGAATATTCAAATTTCTGGTTTTAATATTCAAATTACTGAATTTTAATATGTAAAAATTTGCATAAAATTTTGTCGGGAAAATAATGAGTAATATGTCGCTCCGAGAAAAGAAATTTTATTTTCTCACGACACAATTCATTTTCTCAGCGGCGATGCGATTTTAGATGCGACAGTGTTCATTATTTTCCCGACAGACTGATATTACGCTACCTCTGATATTTAAAACTCGATTTAAAAAATAAGCTTAGCACTTCACACTACGGTTTTTTGAAAGTGAGCAGACTTTTTTTCTCTCTATAAAAAGGCTAATAGCCCCTCCTGAAAGCCGCCGGATCAATTTTTGGCGTTAGCATTGTGAAAAAAAGGTGCAAGCGACAGCCAAAAAACCGTTTGCAGGATGCTGAATCACGCCTTACTCTCGCACAGCGCACGTAAAAAAAGTTTTGAGAATTTTTAAATTTTTACAAATTTTATAAAAGACCTGACCGATAAACACTAAAAATGGTGCTGATTTTACTTTCCCTATCTTTTATGACACTTTACAAAAGAATCCACTTACTCCGTCCATGCATTGCCTCCCGACTCGTGTAGTCGTTGCTCAACGACGAGATCAGCTCGATCAACAAGTAGAGCACCGAGCCAATGTAGAAGCAGCCGTATAGAATAACACCAACAAAGTTTATGACCAAAAATGGGAGGAAGAGATGAGGTAGTTTGAAGTTGATACCAAGAACCAGCAAGAAGTACAAGATGAACCCGATGATCGCCGCCGCCATTTGAATGTACATGCCGTAGAAGGCGGTGAAGGCGATGGCAGCTATTCCGGAGAGCATTCCGACCACCCCGATGATTAGAGCGCCCGTCTGAAAATGCGGCATTAATTTGTATAAATTTGAATATTTTAGGCTCTCAAATTTTTATATTAAAAAATATCAAGGCAAAAAGATAATTTGTTTATCTGAAACGACTAAAAAATTTTTTTGTTGTTAAATTTGCATATAGAAAAGAAACCAATCTGTCGGAAAAATAATGAGCAACTTGATTTTGCTGCGACACACTTCATCTTCACGACGGCGATGCGATTTTTGATGCGACAGAGTGCTCATTCTTTTCCGGACAATATGATATGCAAATTTTTATAATCAAAATTTTAAATATTAAAATTCAGTAATTTGAATATTCAAATTTTTAAATTTGCATGTTCAAATTTGAATATGAAAATTTGAAAATTTGCATATTCAAATTTGAACACCTACATTTTCAAATTTGCATATTCAAATTTGAATATCCACATTTTCAAATTTGCATATTCAAATTTGAATACCCACATTTTCAAATTTGCATATTCAAATTTGAACACCCACATTTTCAAATTTGCATATTCAAATTTGAATACCCCCATTTTCAAATTTGCATATTCAAATTTGAATATCCACATTTTCAAATTTGCATATTCAAATTTGAACACCCACATTTTCAAATTTGCATATTCAAATTTGAACACCCACATTTTCAAATTTGCATATTCAAATTTGAATACCCCCATTTTCAAATTTGCATATTCAAATTTGAACACCCACATTTTCATATTTGCATATTCAAATTTGAACACCCACATTTTCAAATTTGCATATTCAAATTTTCATACTTGCATATTCAAATTTGAACACCCACATTTTCAAATTTGCATATTCAAATTTGCATATTCAAATTTTCGAAATTTAGCAAAATCATTTTTTTCCACTCTTTAAAATAAAAGCCACACTCAACCGTGTAATACTCAAATCCCGAAAAAATATACATAAATTATGCAAATTCCCTACCTGAACATGCACTCCGCAACAACACGTCGGCCGAACGCCATAGTCGTAACTGTAATTGTGCATCTGTTTTGTGTAGTCTGCCTTCTGCATGCTGGCTAGTTCAGCGTTAAACTTTTCGCTTATTAGTTTTCTCGCAATTTTGGCGGGTGTCTGAAAAAAAAATTTTACAAGGAAAGTACTTTTATGGGGGCTCCTACTTTTTGACGGGACATATCTCAAAAAATCAGAAAAAATGTGCTGGTCAAGGATATATAAATCTTAGCTGCCCATTTTAGGTTTTTAGGGGTGAAAATGCCAAAAAACTGGCTTAATTTCCCTACAAAAGGCGCAGCATTCGAAACGATAAAAAGCGCACTCGGTCTCTTCCTTCGGAAGAGAGCGATGTGGCCGAGTGGTTAGTGCCGTAGTCTGGGAATCAAGAGGGGTGATGCCGCACGGGTTCGATTTCCCTTTTGGGCTGAATCAACTTTTTTTGAAGTTGAAGGTCGGAAAAATAAATTTTTGGGCCAAGACTGTCTTATTACGTCTTAGAAACTCAATAAACACCATTTTAAGCCAAAATAAAAATTGTAAACCTGTGAAAAATTAAGCGAAAAGGGGTTCATATAGGACTTTAAGTCAACTTCCGATTGAGTTTTCACCCCTAAAAACCTAAAATGGGCAGCTAAGATTTATATATCCTTGATCAGCACATTTTTTCTGATTTTTTGAGATATGTCCCGTCAAAAAGTAGGAGCCCCCATAAAAGTACTTTCCTTGTTAGAACTGAAAATCAAATAAAAAAAAAAATAAAAATAAAAATTTCAAAATTCGCGAAAAAAATGTAATAACAAAGTCGAAAATAAAAAAATCATTTTTCGCGATTTTCCCAAAAAGGAAAAAAAATCCAAAAACTATCAAAAAATATAATAAAAAGCATCAGTCTGTCGGGAAAATAATGAGGTCTCTGTCGCTGCACCGATCAAAAATAAAAATCATTTTGATTTTGCCGCGACACAATTCATCTTCCCGGCGATGCGATTTTCGATGCGACAGAGTGCACATTATTTTCCCGACAGACTGAGATTCAACAAAAAATCTTCGTCACCAAAAAACACCATAAAAAATTCAACACCCCGCTCCATTGACGGATCTAAATTTAAAATCGTAATAGCTCATTCTTCAAATGCACGGGCCTTATAAAGAATTCCATAAAAAGCACATCCGAAAAAGGGGCCAAAATTCGCCCGACGTCACGACCCACGATCCTGAGGGAGAAATGAAAAATATGAGTTGAACATGACGCTATAGAGGGGAGAGGTTCAAATGGCCATCAGACAAATGTTTGGGCCGCGAAAAGGTGTCGAGTTGTATCGTCATATAATAAAAGCCACGATAAAAGGGCAAATATGGGGAAATTGGAGAGGACGAAAAAAAGTGTTTTGATCGAATTTTTTGTCGGTGAAATTTTTTGGGATTATAGGCAAAATGTATAAATTTATAAAGTAAAGAAGGATATCAGTCTGTCGGGAAAATAATGAGCAAAATTTCGAGTGGAAAGCAATCTGATTTTGCCCACGACACAATTCAGTTTCTCGACGGCGATGCGATTTTCGATGCGACAGACTGCTCATTATTTTCCCGACAGACTGATAGCAAGTATGCTGTAAGATAGGCGACCTATTAATTGCTGAAAAAATGCGGCTTTTTCTTTGTAATGATAGCGGAAACTTTAAATGGCGAGGCCTTAAAATTAGGTGTTAAATTTATATTTGATCTACAGTGGGACTTGATCCAATGGCAAAAAAGATACCATTTTGCTTCCATGAAGTACCAAAAATGTGGCAAAATACCTCCCTCTCCAAGTGAAAAAACGCAGATTTCAAAAGCGCACCCGCTCTTTTTGTGAGGAAAGAAGGGGCGCCATTCAAAACGAAGTGTCTTCACTTGAAGAGGGAAGCATTTTGCCACATTTTTTGATACTTCCCGGATGCAAAATGGTACGTTTTTTTGCCACCAGATCAGATCCCCCACTGTACATGGGCTGTTTAGCAACACTTCCCAGACTTTTCTCATTTCGACGTCTAGACGATCACCCGCAGTAACTCATCCCGATAAAACCCACACCCACTACCCACCCCATAACTCCCCACTTTACTTCCATCTCCCAAAAATGGCCTGCAGATTACTGGAGGGACATAAAATTGATTTAGAGCCAAATCGCCGCCGGAAACGAGACTTTTTCGTTTGTTTTTAAACCGATTTCCGACGTTTTTCAAGACGCAGATTGCATATTTATGAAAACCGAAAAAATGGAGGATGAAAGGTTTCCTGGTCGGGCAAAGATCGGGATTAGGGAACATGATAAAGAGTCTACGTACTTTCTGAAACGATTACTATTTTGGGATTTTAAGAAAAGACGCTAAATCTTGGCCAAAAAACTTTTTTAAGCCCTATAAAAAATTAAAATTTTTCGTCGAAAATTTTACAACTTTTCGATTTTTTTTCAAAAAATTTCAATTCTTATTAAAAAAGCTTAAAAAAAATTCAAAAACATATTCTAAAAATCGGTTTTACATAAAATAAAACCATAATTTCTGGGCCACTTTCTCAGAACACTCCAAACAAAACCTAAATGGACAATAAAAGCGAAAGCGCGCGGTTATAACGACAATGTGTCGAGTAAATTTGATTCCGCGTTTTTTTTCTCGCCGTCCTTTTGGCAAATTTCCATAACTTTTTTTAGCGCTCTTCTCCCCCTCAGAAGACCCTAGCCCGCGGCTAAATAAGCTCAGTAAAGAGTGTCTATTTCAGGGAAAACGAGGTTAGGGCAAGTGCAGTTTGAGGGCAAATTATTCGAAAAAAAAGATTTGAGAAGAACGTGCCAAGCGTTTTTAAAAAAAATCGCGTTGGCAAAATTGAACAAGACCTATCAGTCTGTCGGTAAAATAATGTGGCACTGTACATGACTAAACAATGATATAGTATCAGCCTGTCGGGAAAATAATGTGGATTTGTCGCAAAGCGATCATAGGCGCGACAAATCAAAATTATCAGCCTGTCGGTAAAATAACGAGCCCTCTATCGTATCGAAAATCGCATCGCCGCCGAGAAAATGAATAGTGTCGCGGCAAAATCAAATTGCTTTTTCAATTCAGCGACGGCATTGGTGCTGCGACATTGTGCTCAATATTTTTCCGACAGACTGATATATCGCCATTTCCATCAAGAAATAAAATAAAAATTTAGATACTAGTCAACGGTAGAGTTGCTGGAGTGATTTGGCAATGCGCACTGTGCAAAAAACCAGGGTGCAAGCGGTCCCGAAAAAAGCCTTTTGCACATTGCAAAAAGCAAGAAATTGCACAGTGCAGAGGCCGCTTTTTATGGTGACTTTGCATGTCGTCAAAATCACTCCACTCGGGTTTGTGAACGGACTAGTAGCCCGACAGCATCGAGAGACTGAGAGACCAACAACATCATGATACTGAGCGTAGACGCTTCAATAAAGCCCTATCCGAAACCCACGACCGTTTATGTCGGGGGGAACCCAAACACTTACTGCCTGACTTCCCTGCCAGACAATACCCAATGTCCTCCGGACATTCGCGGAATCGGTTCGCGGGCGGGAATAATGGCAGAACGGAACTTCCCCAAATCTGTTATTGGTTCCGAAACCGCCGGAAAGGGGCGTTTGAGAAGACGGTGAACGAACAATGGCGGTTCCCCTATCGAATAACACATATTTTTCCATTTTTCTATCAGTCTATCGGGAAAATAATGAGCATTTTGACGCGTCGACAACCGTATTGCCGCTGAGGATATGAATTGTGTCATTATTATTAAATACGACAAACTGATATTCGAAATCGAAGATACCATCTTTTCAGAAACTTTTAAGGAGAAGAAATCTGAGAGCTACGTTTTTACGGAGCATGATATCTTAAATCAACAAGGAACAGATCTTAAAATTCACCTAAAGCCTATCCGAGCATATGTTGGCGCTGATTTGCATAAGTTCGCTCATTCCCTATAAAAGCCACGGATCTGGTCATTTTACAATCACTTTTCCCGCTGTTGTGCGAAATAAATACTTCCTTCTTGGTCCTCTCGTCTTCTCCTACCCGTCGATCCCACTTCAAATCCCATTCTCACCTGGACAGCCAGTACATGGGGGCTCAGCCAGTAAAGCATAGGTGAACTTTTTACGGCTTATTATAAGATGAGTACGCTGGCACTGAGAATAGCACCTGTACGGCGAATAAAAGGGAAGTGTAAGCCTCAGTCATCATTGACCTTTTGAATATCACACAAGTCGAAAAGCAAGAAAAAATAAACCGAGTTGAAAAGTGTGCTACAAAAAGAATTACGAGTGAATAATGCGCCTAAAGCACGGCGATTGTCGCGACTTGGCACGCGGTAATGCCACTATTTACTTTTTGAGAAATTTCCGAGATTAGACTAATGCTGGCGCTCTGAAAAACGGTTGAGATCTTTAAGTCAAAACGTGAGGAAGACGACTTGGGAGACATTTTTTTATAAGTCAGCTCGTAAAGTCACTGGGGTGATTTCTGCGACATGCACTGTGAGAAAGAAGGCTTACTTTGCACTGTCCACTTATGGCTTTTTCCATCGTTCAAATAGATGCCCTTTACAGAAAAATTTGAAAAGAATCCAGTCTATAGGATGGGGTTCCTTATACAATATTTATATTTTCTAAAAGCCGGCTTTTTAATCTACTACCATGCCAAGTTTTAGCCCTCTAGCTCCAACGGATATCGAGATATGGAGAGAGAAAGCAAGCGCATTCCGAAAAAAGAATAGAAAACGTCGCGGAGATCGGTTGTGTCCCAAAATTACAGAATGCCGTGCACCTTTCTAATAGGCTATTTACAGAAAAACATGAAAAAAATCCGAGCCCAAGGACAAAAGTTATCCATTTCAACTATACTTTGCTCCTGTACCCTTATTTAATATTGAATCCTACAACATCTACGCACTGCGTACATTTTTCAACTACAATCTTGCACTGATATACTCTCTAGATTGTAGATTGTAAAGTGCGCTTACGTTGCGTGCCACAAAGTACCATAAGCGTGCCACGCGAGGTG